CGATAAAAATAAATATCTGAGAACCTGTGGACTTGAGCTTTTACATTATATAATAAATGGGATTAACAAGATTTGACAGGTCCTTTCGCGTGGTGACCATCAGTGACATCCTGAACACAAAACAAAACAAGAACATTGTTATTCTAATTGTTAATTCCTGGGAGAATTTCCCGGGAAATGTTTTATAAACCTATAAACCTAAGCGTTTTCACAACTTAATATTTTTTATTCGAAATTTATTCAGATAACACATTTCGATGAAAATAATTGCCGTACTGAAGTCACACCCAGCTATATCAAAATAAAGTGACTGAAGGGGACAGAAGATGCGACCCGTGGCTAACCTATGTCCCTTTCCTTAAAACTGTAATCAAGTGAAGTTAGTCAGAGCCGCGATAATCAGAGTTTGGATATTTAGAGCCTGGATTGTCAGAGCTCGGATAGCCAAAGCCCGTATTGTCAAAACCCGTATAGTCTCAGTCTGGATAGTCAGAGCCTGGATAGTCTCAGTCTGGATAGTCAGACGCTGTATAGTAAGAGCCTGGCTCATCAGATCCTGGATAGTCAGAGCCTGGATAGTCAGAGCCTGGATAGTCCGAGTCCGTTGGAGATAAAGAACACACTCGAAACAAGGCCCATAATGTTGTGAGTTTGTTGACTAGTCGTGGCTACGATAGAGACACTACAGACCAGATAATTGGACTCGGTTTCGCTGAGTCATGGACGCGGTGCTTGACACAGCTTGTCGGTGTCATATGTTGCACTGTCATAAGGGCTGTTCTCAAACATTGCTAACATATTTGCACTGTCACGGAGGCGAACTCAAACATAGTTATCATGTTTGTACTGTCACAATGGTGATTCTCAAAGATTGTTACCATATTTCCGCTGTCAAACCAGGGTTGTACAAAGGAAAAGCGGTACCAGGAGCGAAGCCTCAAATCGCGCCCTTCAATAAAAAAAATTAAAAAAGTGCGACATGGGACTGATCAGTAGAGAAACTATTTTGGCGCCACTTGTCTTTATTAAGTCCATGAGATTTTATCGTTGAATTCACTTATAGGTTCTCCCTAAAGACGATTATGATGTTGGCGCCAGTGCACCATTCGCCCCTCCGCTTCCCATGGCCCTGCTCAAAAGGGTCCTCAAACATTGGTACCATAATTGCCCTGTTGCAACAGTGATTCTAAAACATTTTTGCCTTGCCTCAGGCCAACTTGAATACTTCTTGTGGTCCTTTTCCTCGCTCGTAAAATAAAATTCAGAAACTTGTCTGGGAAGTAACTTGTCTGAGAAGTATTTTGACTGAGAAGTAACTTGTCTGAGAAGTAACTTGTCTTAGAAGTAACTTGTCTGAGAAGTAACTTGTCTTAGAAGTAACTTGTCTGAGAAGTAACTTGTCTGAGAAGTAACTCGTCTGAGAAGTATCTTGTTTTAGAAGTAACTTGTCTGAGAAGTAACTTGTCTGAGAAGTAACTTGTCTGAGAAGTATCTTGTCTGAGAAGTAACTTGTCTTAGAAGTAACTTGTCTGAAAAGTAACTTGTCTGAGAAGTAACTTGTCTGGGAAATATTTTGTCTGAGAAGTAACTTGTCTGAGAAGTAAATTGTCTGAGAAGTAACTTGCCTGAGAAGTATCTTGATTTAGCCTACATAGTGAAATAGCTCCACTTAAAGCACAACAACATTCATAGCCCTTCCTCCTCCATACCAACCACTCCTCCCCTCCCCTCCATACCAACCACTCCTCCCCCTCCCCTCCATACAACCACTCCTCCCCCCTCCCTACCACACCAACCATTCCCCCCCTCCCCCCTTCCACAACAACCATTCCTTCGAATAATCTGTACTGAATGTAGACATAGAGATGGCGCCTGGACCACGGCTCTGACAAATAGAATTCGAGGCTTTTGGTTCCCATGATGTTAAGGACCATTAATTTGTTAATGGGCTTGATGTAGCGTACATGTGTGTCATGGCGTCTCTAGGAGTGCGGACTTCACCTGGTGACAGCCTCATTGGGGGGGGGGGGTCACAATGAAAAATCAAATTTGAAAGAGTTCACTCGACTCGATTTCATAACGGAACTTGCTTTTGGGTCCCATGATGTTAAGGACCATTAATTTGTTAATGGGCTTGATGTAGCGTACATGTGTGTCATGGCGTCTCTAGGAGTGCGGACTTCACCTGGTGACAGCCTCATTGGGGGGGGGGGGGTCACAATGAAAAATCAAATTTGAAAGAGTTCACTCGACTCGATTTCATAACGGAACTCAGTTATGCACAAGAATCGGGTGTCTACAAAGCAGGGTGCTACCAGAACATGATGCTACCAGAACAGGGTGCTACCAGAACAGGGTGCTACCAGAGCATGGAGCCACCAGAACAGGGTGCTACCAGAGCATGGATCCACCAGAACAGGGTGCTGCCAGAGCATGGAACCACCAGAATAGGGTGCGACCAGAGCAGTGTGTCACCAGAGCAGGGTGCTACATGACAGGGCTCGACCAGAGCAGGGTGCTACCAGAGCATGGAGCCACCAGAACAGGGTGTCACCAGAGCAGGGTGTCACCAGAGCAGGGTGCCACCAGAGCAGGGTGTCACCAGAGCAGGGTGTCACCAGAGCAGGATGCCTCTAGTGTATGTATAATCAGATGAGGTTCACGAGGAATTCTGGATGGGTGAGGAAAACGTTAGGGGAGCACCAAAGACTGTCAAAGTCAGGCCGGACTGTCAAAGTCAGGCTGGACTGTCAAAGTGAGGCTGGACTGTCAAATTGAGATCCGACTGTCAAAAAGTGAGGCTGAACTGTCAAAGAGAGGCTGGAATGTCAAAGAGAGGCCGGAATGTCAAAGTGAGGCTGGACTGTCAAAGTGAGGCTGGACTGTCAAAGTCAGGCTGGACTGTCAAAGAGATGCCGGAATGTCAAAGTGAGACCGGACTGTCAAAGTCAGGCTGGACTGTCAAAGTGATGCCTGAATGTCAAAGTGAGGCCGCACTGTCAAAGAGAGGCCGGAATGCCAAAGTCAGGCTGGACTGTCAAAGTGAGGCAGGACTGTCAAAGTCAGGCTGGACTGTACAATTCTGGCTGGACTGTCAAAGTGAGGCCGGACTGTCAGAAAAGGCCGGACTGTCAAAGAGAGGCTGGACTGTCACAGAGAGGCCGGACACTCGCTGCATAAAGAAACACGTGGGAGATGTTTGATCGTACTGATAGTTTTTAGTCCTTGGAGATCATGAGCTAACTACAAGGGGGCAGGTATTTAAGCAGCTGTTCAAGCAATGAGTTACTGGTTTCATGTCCCAAACGGACCACTTTCTAAGATGAGCTATCTGAAAATCAAAATTTCCTTGAAATATCAAGACTGCCAATGCACCTGAAAGCAGCAGATAATTGGACTCGGTTTCGCTGAGTCATTCACCTCGATGAATCCGAAGATGGGTCAAGGTTGAAGTCTTTACATTGACAATGTGACTGGGACAATGTGACTGGGACAATGTGACTTGGACAATGTGACTGGGACAATGTGACTGGGACAATGTGACTGGGACAATGTGACTGGGACAATGTGACTGGGACAATGTGACTGGGACTTCCTTGGATTTCTCCTAATCCTGTCACTGAGCCTAACATCGTGTCTCATGATCCGAGTGTCTGTGACGTCATGCTAGAGGAGCTTTTCAAAAGTGAAACTTAAAAATCAATTATTTGTGATTTTCCAGAGAACAATCCGAAATGGAGTGGCTCTGTATGATCTGTTTTAGTTCAAGAATTTCTCGGTGGCGAGTGTTGGGGCGGGGAGTGGGGGTGGGGGGAAGTCTGGAAAAATGTGTGCTGCAGTGTGTACTGAGTTATGAGTTTACCACACCGGTGACACCAACCCTAGTACCACACCAGTGACACCAACCCTAGTACCACACCAGTAACACCGACCCTAGTACCGCACCGGTTACACCAACCCTAATACCACACCAGTAACACCAACCCTAGTACCGCACCGGTGACACCAACCCTAGTACCACACCAGTAACACCAACCCTAGTACCACACCAGTAACACCAACCCTAGTACCACTCCGGTAACACCAACCCTAGTACCACACCAGTAACACCAACCCTAGTACCACTCGGGTAACACCAACCCTAGTACCACACCAGTGACACCAACCCTAGTACCACACTGGTGACACCCATGGGCACCCGCAGGTAGGGGCAAGGTGGGGCACTTGCCCCCCCCCCCCCGGATTGATTGGATAACAAATTTTTAGACAAAAATAGAAAAAATGTATTAAAGTAAAGAGAAAATAAAGAGAAAGTAACTAAGCTGATGTCCTGTCCGTTCNAAAAAAATTTTTCCCCCCCCCCCCCTGGAAAGTTAACTGATTTTTTTTGCCCCCCCCCCTAGTAAGTTTTCTGCGGGCGCCCATGGTGACACCAACCCTGGTACCACACCGGTGACACCAACCCTAGTGACGCCCCTGTGTGTGTGTGTACGCTGTCCGTGTGTACTATTGCGTACTATTGCGTAGATTACACCGAGAACAAGCTGTCTACCATCAAATCTGTACATCAAATAATTTCTGCAATGCTGATTTTTAAGAATAAATGTGTGTACCTCTCTCATAGATGGCAGTCCTCACTTATCACGATAGTTGGCAGTCCTCACTTATCATGATAGTTGGCAGTCCTCACTTATCATGACAGTTGGCCACCAGAGTATCTCAAGGAGGACCCCCAGAATATCAAGTCATATCATTCTAAAATTTGTTTGTCTAAATGGTGTGTGGTGAGTAAAGTAACATTACAATATAAAATATTATTATTACCATAATCCACTATTAACTTTAATCTCCTATATATTATAATGTTTCAAAAACATAATTATGTAAATTTATTCACTAATCCCGATAAGTTAATTCATTTAAACGACCACCCCTTTGGCCTCTCAAAACAATATAATCTTTAAAAGTCACCATTGGCCTTAGTTTTAGAATCATGGTGTGAGACCCGCCGATTTATTTATAATCCTTCAGAACGGGTTTACCCGAACTTGCTAAACACATCGGCTGTGTTGTGGTTGTAGGCTGAAATGTGTAAGTCATGGTCGGTGCCGTGTTCCTAGCCACCGGATGACTTTTGTAAACAAACTGTTTTAAAGAGTTTATTCAGAGAAGAATAAAAGTCGAACAGGTAAGTTATAAGTTATTTGTTATTAATATAATTTTATATAGATCTATATTCTGGCCTATATTTCAAAACAATAAACTGCATGACAACCTTTGTTAAGTGGGTGACACCGTGTAAATAATTTATGTACAGGCACGAGAAAGTACACAGATAAAATAAAACAAAATACAGCTCTTCTCCTCTCCTGCGTATCTAGACCCTAACTCCAACATCTTACATAACACTGGGATTATTTTCTGTTGTGTAAATTGCTTGTTGATAAAATAAATAAAATGTGTTTGGTATGTTACTGGATTGTTTGTAGACGATTTTATTAAAAGTCACTGTGGTCCTTCTAACTGTTGATGACATCTTCACAATGTGCCTCTGTCTGTATTAGGGATTGAAGTCTTGTAGGCATTCTACCTTCGGATGAATTCTCCGTAGTAATAAGCCTCAGTCTGTAGTAGTAGTAGAGAATAAAAACAACTCATGACGTCCAGTCATACCGTCACATCTCCCTCTTAACAATACAAGCAATAGTCAATCAAGAAAATAGCCTGCATGCATCACTAAATCAATAGTAATACTAAAACACTATTCAATACTTTGTATGTACAAATAACTCAATTTGTATTGCATGACACTGTACGTATTACATGTCTCTATCAAGGAAGCATCTTGGTGGTTTCACTTGCCTGCCATATCTTGTCACCACCTGTGCTGGAATACGTTGTGCTGGAATAGGATTGATGGCACTTGGTAGAGATATTTTCACCATAGTCTCTTTTACAACCTCTGGGTTGGTGAGTTGTGGTTCACGTGTTGTATCAGGACAGTCCAGTTGAATAAATCTGGTGCACTGCTTTGCCTCTGTGTCTCTTTTAACATTTTCTGATTTCGCCGATATGTCATCCCGTCTGGCGTTTTGACAATCTATGACCTTGGTGTGGATGCTTCTGAGACAACTACTGCTGGCTTCCATGAGCTTTGAGATTTATTCTGCATATATATAAATTGCTACCAGGCTGAATTTGGGAATGACCCCTCATTTTCGCTGTCTTGTTGTAATATCTTCCTTGATCATTTTTTTCTTTTGTTCCAGATGTTGGCCATTTCTTTTGGGTTTGGAACTTTTGGCTTTAGGTCGGCATCAGTAGCTGGAAGAGTTGATCTTAGGCGTCGGCCCATGAGTAGCCGTGAAGGGGAGGGTCCATCAGGGCATGGAGCATTTCTAAACTCCAACAGGGCAATATATGGATCTAGGCCCGACGCTTGAGCTTTCTTTAAAAGTGTCTTTACTGCCTGGATTGCTCTTTCAGCCATGCCATTGGACTGTGGGTACCTGGGGCTTGAAGTGATGTGACTAAAGCCCCACTGTTTGGAGAAATTGCTAAACTCTTCACTGGAAAATTGGGGTCCATTGTCACTAATTATTTCTCTTGGAATGCCATGGCGTGCAAACTGGGACTTCATATGAATAATTACATCAGAAGCTTTGAGAGACGGAATTAGAATAATTTCAAAGAATCTGCTGTAGTAATCAACGAGAAGTAAATAATTCTTTCCAATATAATGTAAAATGTCAACTCTTACTTTTTCCCAAGGAAGCGAGGGGATTTCATGGGCTATCATGGGATCTTTTTTCTGGGATCTTTGATACCCCCTGCATACTGAGCAGCTAGATACAATGTCTATGATCTGTGATGTCATTCCTGGCCAGAAAAGTACTTCCTTTGCTGTAGCCAAACATTTATCACGCCCCAAATGTCCCTGATGAAGTCTCTTGAGCATTTCTTTCTGCAATAGTTTCGGAACTATAATTCGCTCTCCTTTGAAAAGTAAACCTTGGCTTTCACTTAGTTCTTCTTTGAATCCAGTATACAATCTTATTTCTTGTGGAATCTCAGATCTTCTATCTGGCAACCTACTAAAATATGTTGCCTTAAAAGTCTCAGAGTTGTATCGTTCGCTATTTCTTGTTGAAATAATTTCATTTTTTCATCTGAAAGAGGTAGACTGTTGACTATTAGATGAACCTGTGCGTCCCAGTCATCACTTGATGGATTATGTCTTGGTAGGGATGCTCGTGAGAGGGTGTCTGGGATAAACATTTCTTGACCAGGCTTGTATTTAAGAATGATTTCATATTTCATGAGTCGTAGAAGCATCGTCTGAAGCCTGGGTGGTGCAGATGACAAAGTAGAGACCGACCGAATTTTGGCTTCGGCTTCGGTTTCGGCGCCGAAAGTGGCCATTTTTATCACTTTCGGCCAAGTTTCGGTTTCGGCCGAAACTGAAAAGTTAACTTTCGGCTTAATTTCGGTTTCGGCCGAATGAGAAAATTTGACTTTCGGTTATTTTTCGGTTTCGGCCGAAATTGACTTAGACTTTCGGCCATTCGGCCGAAAGTGACTCAGGTTTTCGGTCATTTTAATACTCAGTGAAAGCGATATTTAACAACAAACTAAGCAACATTTAAGAACAAATTAAGCGATCTTTGAGAACAAACTAAACGATATGTAACAACAAAATAAGGGACATTTAAGAACAAACTAAACGATCTTTAAAACAAACTAAGCGATCTTTAAGAACAATCTAAGCGATCTTTAATAACAAACTAAACGCTCTAATAGAACAAACTAAACGATTTTTTAGACCGAACTAAATGATCTTTAAGAACAAAACAAATGATCTTTAATAGTAAACTAAATGATTTATAAGAATAAACTAAGCGATCTTTAACAGAAAACTAAATATTCTTTAGGAACAAACTAAAAGATCTTTAAGAACAAACTAATCTATCTTAAGGAACAAAATTAATTATCTTTAAGAATAAACTAAGCGATCTTTATGAAAAAAACTAAGCGATCTTTACAACAAAATAAGCGATCTTTAACAACAAACTAAACGATCTTTAACAACAAACTAAACAATCTTTAACAACAAACTAAACGATCTTTAACAACAAACTAAATGATCTTTAACAACAAACTAAACGATCTTTAACAACAAATTAAACCATCTTTAACAACAAACTAACCGATCAATAACAACCAACTAAACGATCTTTAAAAACAAATTAAGCGATCTTTTAGAACCACATTTTTTAGAGACCCTGTTTAAAAAAATAAAATATTTTGCATAAATTCCCCCCCCCCCCCCCCCATTTTCTCCTACTATACTAATTTAAAAAAAATTGTAAAGCAATTTAAATTCATTTTATTTTAAAATGGTAAAATACTAAGTATTCTTAGATCAAGGGTCTCAAACTCAAATCATAGGGGGGGAAAAGGGGGGGGGCACAGGAGGTAGTGTCTAGATGAGAGTTGGCCGCATCAAGTAATCCACAAAAAAGCGATTACAACTGTTACAATCTGCTCAACGTTTATAAATAGCAATAAAATCATTAAGGGTTTTCAAGAACTACTCACTGTTGCCAGAGACCTGGCATACAAAAAATATATAGAAACATAAAAAAAAAAAAATCAGAATTAGACTAGTCGGTGAGATTCGACTGAAACCGTCGCGGAGAGTCACGTTATAGATATGAGAATGGGGGAAACGCGCCGGCACATTAACACTAAACTTTTCTGTCATGCAGCGGGCCGGAAAATATCGTCTTGCGGGTCACAAATGGCTTGCGGGCCGCGAGTTTGAGACCCCTATATTAGATGTTTATTTATTAATATTCACGATTATCTAATTTTGTATAAAAAGAATGTAAATATTTATACTTTCCCACATCATTTTCGATGTATGCAGAATGTATGCGGGAACGAATTTCAAAATATCTTAATATTTCATTTTCGGTTTCGGCTTCGGTTTCGGCCAAAATTCATTTTTAACTTTCGGTATTTTTTCGGTTTCGGCCGAAAGTCATTTTAAACTTTCGGCCTATTTTCGACTTCGGCCGAAATCATGAAATCACTTTCGGTCGGTCTCTATGACAAAGGCTTTTTGATGATCACTTCCAGTGGCTTGTGATCTGTCTCTACTGTGACCTGGCGCCAATAGACATAGTAATGAAAATGTTCAACTCCGAACACTACGGCAAGCATTTCTTTTTCCATCTGAGCATATCTTTTTTCACATTCTGTTAAAGACCTAGATGCATAAGCCACCGGTCTCTCACTTTGAATGAACACTGCTCCAAGTCCTTCTTGCGAAGCATCCACTGACACCTTGACTGGCTTTGATACATCATAAGACGCTAGCACTCATGCTGATGTGATTACATTTTTTAATTGATCCACTGCATTTTGCTGTTGCTCAAGCCACACCCACTCGTTATCTTGTTTGATCAACTCTCGCAGGGGTGCAATTATATCTGTTAGATTTGGGACAAATTTTCCAAGATAATTAACCATTCCTAAAAATCGTTCCAACTCTTTGCGATTTGAGGGACATGGTATGGACTGTATCGCCTCAATTTTAGAGTTATCGGGTCTAATTCCCCTATCCGTAATGGCATGGACTGTATCGCCTCAATTTTAGAGTTATCGGGTCTTATTCTCCTATCCGTAATGGCATGGACTGTATCGCCTCAATTTTAGAGTTATCGGGTCTAATTCACCTATCCGTAATGACATGGACTGTATCGCCTCAATTTTAGAGTTATCGGGTCTTATTCCCCTATCCGTAATGGCATGGACTGTATCGCCTCAATTTTAGAGTTATCGGGTCTTATTCCCCTATCCGTAATAATGTGTCCTACAAATTTTACTTCATTGACCCTCCAACAGCATTTTGATGGTTTCAATTTTATCCCTTTTTCTCTGGCTGTATCGAGTACTTTCTTCAATCTTTTATCATGTTCTTCTATAGTTCTGCCAGATATCAGAATTTCGTCCATGTAAGTTTCAACACCTGGAATATTTTCAAAAACCTGGTGGAACCATTTAGCAAATACTTCTGCAGAAGAATTGAGCCCGAATGGTAGTCTCATAAACTTGTACCTTCCAAAAGGTGTATTGAAAGTTGTTAGATCTGTACAATTTTTTTCAAGTCTAATTTGCCGAAAAGCTGAGTTTGCGTCCAACACAGTGAATACTTTGCTTCCAACAAGTCTGCTAGATATTTCTTCCATGGTGGGTAATTGGTAATGTTCCCGTTGAATGGCAGTGTTAAGGTCTTTAGGATCAAGACAGATCCTTAAACCACTTCCTTGTTTTCAACAATAACCAGCGAGTTGACCCATGCCGTGGGATGATCCACTTTCTCAATGACACCTTCATTTTCCATGCGCTCAATTTCTTTCTTGAGGTCATCTCGCAATGCCGCTGGAACTTTTCTAGCAGCATGTACCACTGGCCTAATAAGTGGGTCAATTTTGATTTTGTACTCCTCTTCCATGGAACCAAGACCACTGAAAACATCTGCATAAGAAGACAATGTTTCATCTCCAATAACATTCACTCTTTTGATAAGATTGAGTTGCTGGCAACCTGGCAGTCCCATGAATCGCTTGGATTGGGTTTTTACAATTTGAAACCCCAACATCTCAGTTTTTTCCTTTACTGTGCATTTGATCAATGCCTTGCCCACAACAGACAATCGTTCACGACTGTATGTCGTAAGTCTTGCAGTTGACTCCAGAAGTCCTTTCTTTCGAAATTGACTAAACAGTTTATAAGGGAGAATGTTCACCTCCGCTCCAGTATCCAGTGTGAAGGTTATTTGCCTCCCCTCAAGAGTCACTACAGATTTCCACTCATTGCTAAGTATGTTTTTTAGGGAAACATTACCGATGAAAAATGTTTCTTCACTGGCTCTAAAGTTATCTTCTGATTGTGAAGTGACAACTCTAATAGACCTGCATACAGATGAAAAATGATTCTGTACCCATCAGCCCCCATTCATCAGCCCCCATCAAACAGCCCCCATCCATCAGCCCCCGCCAATCAGCCCCCACCCATCAGCCACCACCTGTCAGCCCCCACCCATCAGCGCCCACCAATCACCCCCACCCATCAGCCCTCACCAATCAGCCCCCAGTCATCAGCCCTCACCCATCAGCCCCCACCTATCAGCCCTCACCAGCAGCCCCCACACATCAGCCCTCACCCATCAGCCCCCACCCATCAGCCCCCACCCATCAGCCCCCACCTATCAACCCCCACCTATGAGCCCTCACCCATCAGCCCCCACATATCAGCCCTCACCCATCAGCCCTCACCGATCAGCTCCCACCCTCTTTACTAATTATGTATACCACAACATATGTGCATTTACGTTACTTTGCACGGCATGTGCTTTTTGTAGCACACCTGGTGCTTTATGTTTAGTTAAATGATGTGCTTTCTGCAGCACACCTGGTGCTTTATGTTTAGTTAAATGATGTGCTTTCTGCAGCACACCTGGTGCTTTATGTTTAGTTAAATGATGTGCTTTCTGTAGCACACCTGGTGCCTTATGTTTAGTTAAATGATGTGCTTTACTCGGTCATGTGCTATCAATATTCGCGTACGCTAAATGATTCACAGTGTTTCATAATGAAGAAACAATGACACATTTAGCTGTACAGCAAGCCGATCATTTTAAAATGGATTTCAAATATTATATCTAAAAATAATTATACTGATAATAATAATGAATATCATGGACCATATTGTGTTGATCAGCGTATCAAGTATTGTATGCTAAATGTCATGCTATGATGCCATGATTGTGCTGTCATGATTGTGATGTCACGATTCTGTGTCACGATTGAATTTTCATAACTGAATTGTATTGTCATGATTGTAATGCCATGATTGTTATATCATAATTGTGATGCCCTGATTGTAAGGCCATGCTTGTGATATTATAATTGTGATGCTATGATTGTTCCGTAAGGATTGTGAAGGCATGATTGTGATGTTACGATTGTGATGGCATAATTGTGATGGTATGAGTGTGGTGTCATGATTGTCATGGCATAATTGTGATGGTATGAGTGTGGTGTCATGATTGTCATGGCATAATTGTGATGGTATGAGTGTGGTGTTATGATTGTCATGGCATAATTGTGATGGTATGAGTGTGGTGTTATGATTGTCATGGCATAATTGTGATGGTATGAGTGTGGTGTTATGATTGTGATGTCAAAATTGTGATGGTATGAGTTTGGTGTTATGATTGTGATGGAATAATTGTGATGGTATGAGTGTGGTGTCATGATTGTGATGGCATAATTGTGATGGTATGAGTGTGGTGTCATGATTGTGATGGCATAATTGTGATGGTATGAGTATGGTGTTATGATTGTGATGGCATAATTGTGATGGTATGAGTGTGGTGTTATGATTGTGATGGCACAATTGTGATGGTATGAGTGTGGTGTCATGATTGTGATGGCATAATTGTAAGGTATGAGTGTGGTGTCATGATTGTGATGGCACAATTGTGATGGTATGAGTGTGGTGTCATGATTGTGATGGCATAATTGTGATGGTATGAATATGGTGTTATGATTGTGATTGCACAATTGTGATGGTATGAGTGTGGTGTCATGATTGTGATGGCATAATTGTGATGGTATGAGTGTGGTGTTATGATTGTGATGTCATAATTGTGATGGTATGAGTGTGGTGTTATGATTGTGATGGCATAATTGTGATGGTATGAGTGTGGTGTCATGATTGTGATGGCATAATGGTGATGGTATGAGTGTGGTATTATGATTGTGATGGCATAGTTGTGATGGTATGAGTGTGGTGTCATGATTGTGATGGCACAATTGTGATGGTATGAGTGTGGTGTCATGATTGTGATGGCATAATTGTGATGGTATGAATATGGTGTTATGATTGTGATTGCACAATTGTGATGGTATGAGTGTGGTGTCATGATTGTGATGGCATAATTGTGATGGTATGAGTGTGGTGTTATGATTGTGATGTCATAATTGTGATGGTATGAGTGTGGTGTTATGATTGTGATGGCATAATTGTGATGGTATGAGTGTGGTGTCATGATTGTGATGGCATAATGGTGATGGTATGAGTGTGGTATTATGATTGTGATGGCATAGTTGTGATGGTATGAGTATGGTGTTATGATTGTGATGGCTTGCTTATAAAGCGTCCCGACATTTCCATTACACAACTTGCTACGCCATTAACGAGATGTGACAGCTGTGGGGCATCACAGGAAAGTCAGAAACTAGGGTAATAAGGGGAGAAGAGACTGCAATCAGGTTAGCACAATATAAGATGAGTTCAACAATTTCACATTTCTTTTGCTGCCCACGAATACTACGTCCAAGCTGAGTGATAGTTCTTATTTTTATTTTGATACAGTTTTTTTTCTGTTATTTTGTTCGCTGACGAAGGCTTTCTGCCGACACATTCGTCGTTTTGTTGCGTTTCTTTTTTCCGGTTTAACCCTACTCTGTTTTACTCATCTTAAGTCAGTAACTATTTCAGAGTATCTTATTTCCACAGTAACATCCTTTGTCAGATTGGTTGTAGGAGTCGATCTCTTGTGGGGAAACCCTCGGCCACTCATCTCATCAACCTGAATATTAGATTTTCTGTGCATCATTTTTTTCTTCATTTTTGCAGTTTTTTTTCTTCTGAATTATTACACGGCTTTTTAAAAATCAAAATCCATTTCATCAAACGTCTGTTTTGCAATTTTGTACTCTTTGCGAGCGCAGACTAGCAGCCAGTGCAGCTCTCTCAGAAGTGTTTTAGCATGCCATCTGTATGACAGTATCACAACTCTATCATTATGACAGTATCAACATGCCATCATTATGGCAGTATCAACACGTCATTATTATGAAAGTATCAACATCCCATTATTATGACAGTATCAATATACCATCATTATGATATTATCAACCATTAACGCTCAATATATTTTGTTTAAAGTCATACAATATGTAGAGTCATAGAATATGTGGATTCATACATTATGTAGAGTGGGTGCTGGGTGGCCAAGTGGACTTAACTGAGCATATCTCAAGTTGGTGGTCTGGAGTTCAATTCCAGCCAGAGCCAAGTCAAGCAAAAACACCACCAGGACCCCGGGTGGATGGGACTCGTTAGCCCTGGATGGCAATTCATCTAAGAGAAGGAAACTTTGAAATCAAACCCCGAGATGGAGTCCCGAAAGGCGGATAACATTGATACAATGAAACATTCCGACAACTCCTGCAACGCCACTGGTGCCAAGCTGTATCATCCAATGATGTTCCCTAGGGTTATCCAGCGGCGTGGAGAGAGGCGATCTGCTGTTGGGAACCAGCTTATAATCCTTGAAGAATAATCCCAGGTCATGTGGATTTTGTCCTCCGAAACCCACTCCATCGTCACATTGTGACGGACGGATGTCAGCAAAAAGATCTATACAAAATGCACATGTAAATTAGAACATGTGACATAATACACATTGCATCAACTAAAGAAAGTCCAATGATTTAAGTAAACTAGACACCATGACATAAGTAAATCAGAACCAATGACATGTACACTAGAACCTATGGCATAAGTACATTAAAACTCAAGACATCTATAAATTAGAACCAAAGACATATTTATATTAGACCCGGGAGTCAGTCCATTAGACCCGGGACGTCAGTCCATTAGACCCGGGACGTCAGTCAATTAGACCTGGAACGTCAGTCCATTAGACCCGGGACGTCAGTCAATTAGACCCGGGACGTCAGTCAATTAGACCCGGGACGTCAGTCAATGAGACCCGGAACGTCAGTCCATTAGACCCGGAACGTCAGTCCATTAGACCCGGAACGTCAGTCCATTAGACCCGGGACGTCAGTCCATTAGACCCGGGACGTCAGTCCATTAGACCCGGGACGTCAGTCCATTAGACCCGGGACGTCAGTCCATTAGACCCGGGACGTCAGTCCATTAGACCCGGGACGTCAGTCCATTAGACCCGGGACGTCAGTCCATTAGACCCGGGACGTCAGTCCATTAGACCCGGGACGTCAGTCCATTAGACCCGGGACGTCAGTCCATTAGACCCGGGACGTCAGTCCATTAGACCCGGGACGTCAGTCCATTAGACCCGGGACGTCAGTCCATTAGACCCGGGACGTCAGTCCATTAGACCCGGGACGTCAGTCCATTAGACCCGGGACGTCAGTCCATTAGACCCGGGACGTCAGTCCATTAGACCCGGGACGTCAGTCCATTAGACCCGGGACGTCAGTCCATTAGACCCGGGACGTCAGTCCATTAGACCCGGGACGTCAGTCCATTAGACCCGGGACGTCAGTCCATTAGACCCGGGACGTCAGTCCATTAGACCCGGGACGTCAGTCCATTAGACCCGGGACGTCAGTCCATTAGACCCGGGACGTCAGTCCATTAGACCCGGGACGTCAGTCCATTAGACCCGGGACGTCAGTCCATTAGACCCGGGACGTCAGTCCATTAGACCCGGGACGTCAGTCCATTAGACCCGGGACGTCAGTCCATTAGACCCGGGACGTCAGTCCATTAGACCCGGGACGTCAGTCCATTAGACCCGGGACGTCAGTCCATTAGACCCGGGACGTCAGTCCATTAGACCCGGGACGTCAGTCCATTAGACCCGGGACGTCAGTCCATTAGACCCGGAACGTCAGTCCATTAGACCCGGGAGGTCAGTCCATTAGACCCGGGACGTCAGTCCATTAGACCCGGGACGTCAGTCCATTAGACCCGGGACGTCAGTCCATTAGACCCTGGACGTCAGTCCATTAGACCCGGGAGTCAGTCCATTAAACCCGGGACGTCAGTCCATTAGACCCGGGACGTCAGTCAATTAAACCCGGAACGTCAGTCCATTAGACCCTGGACGTCAGTCCATTAGACCCTGGACGTCAGTCCATTAGACCCGGGAGTCAGTCTATTAGACCCGGGACGTCAGTGCATTAGACCCGGGACGTCAGTCCATTAGACCCGGGAGTCAGTCCATTAGACCCGGGACGTCAGTGCATTAGACCCTTGACGTCAGTACATTAGAATCCGTTACATATGTGATTTTGAACCCATGATATCCCAAAATTAGAACCCATGAAATAGTTAAATATTCTTGAATGTTTAACATCCTTGGGGATTCAGGTTCGCTACTTATTGAATTCTATTTGGCAGTGGTTCACAACCTTTTATACTCGCGGAGCATTTTTCAGAATCAATTTTTGTGGGGAATGCTTTGCCTACCCCATGCCTTATAAGTAAATAGTGCTATAGAAGTTCTTGGTTGAGCCACGAAATGGTTTCTGTGACCCATATGACCTTGGGAGCACATATTGGGCTCGGTAGACAGTGTCAGGAAGTGCAGGAAGACAGTATCACGAAGTGCAAGAAGACAGTGTCAGGAAGTGCAGGAAGACAGTTTCAGGAAGGGCAGGAAGACAGTGTCAGGTAGTGCAAGGAGACAGTGTCACGAAGTGCAGGAAGACAGTGTCATGAAGACAGTGTCAGAAAGCGCAGGAAGACAGTGTCAGGAAGTTAAGGAAGACAGTGTCAGGGAGTGCCGGAAGATAGTGTCAGGAAGTGCAGGAATACAGTGTCAGGAAGTGCATGAAGACAGTGTCTGAAGTGCAGGAAGACAGTGTCAGGAAGTGCAGGATGACAGTGTCAGGAAGTGCAGGAATCAGTGTCAGGAAGTGCAGGAAGAGAGTGTCAGGAAGTGCAGGAAGACAGTGTCAGGAAGTTCAGGAAGACAATGTCATTGAGTGCATGAAGACAGTGTCAGGAAGTTCAGGAAGACAGTGTCAGGTAGTACATGAAGACAGTATCACGAAGTGCAGGAAGACAGTGTCAGGAAGTGCAGGATGACAGTGTTAGAAAGGGCAGGAAGACAGTGTCAGGAAGTGCAGGAATACAGTGTCAGGAAGTGCAGTAAGACAGTGTCAGGGAGAACATGAAGACAGTATCACGAAGTGCAGAAAGACAGTGTCAGGACGTGCAGGAAGACAGTGTCAGGAAGTGCAGGAAGACAGTGTCAGGAAGTGCAGGAAGACAGTGTCAGGAAGTGCAGGAAGACAGTGTCAGGAAGTGCAGGAAGACAGTGTCAGGTAGACAGTGTCAGGTAGACAGTGTCAGGAAGTGCAGGAAGACAGTGTCAGGTAGACAGTGTCACGTAGACAGTGTCAGGAAGTGCAGGAAGACAGTGTCAGGTAGACAGTGTCACGTAGACAGTGTCAGGAAGTGCAGGAAGACAGTGTCAGGTAGACAGTGTCACGTAGACAGTGTCAGGTAGACAGTGTCAGGTAGACAGTGTCACGTAGACAGTGTCAGGTAGACAGTGTCAGGAAGTGCAGGAATATCCAGAAAATAGGTTAAAAAAAATGTAATCGTAAAAATGAAATATTATTGAAATCTAGTTGAGGATCAGGAAATGTTTTGAAATCAAGAGGGGACTTTTGTGACCCTGGAAAAATGATTTAGAACCCCCGATCTAGACCGTTGCGCAACGTTTGTTTGTTTTGTAGGCGTATAATAGAAATCCAACATAAGTGAGTTGTGGGGATCACTGTGGACAAGTGTGGAGATCACTGTGGACTAGTGGGGAGATCACTGTGGACTAGTGGGGAGATCACTGTGGACAAGTGGGGAGATCACTGTGGACTAGTGGGGAGATCACTGTGGACAAGTGGGGAGATCACTGTGGATTAGTGGGGAGAACACTGTGGACTAGTGGGGAGATCACTGTGGACTAGTGGGGAGATCACTGTGGACAAGTGGGGAGATCACTGTGGACTAGTGGGGAGATCACTGTGGACAAGTGGGGAGATCACTGTGGATTAGTGGGTCTGTGGACTAGTGGGGAGATCGCTGTGGACAAGTGGGGAGATCACTGTGGATTAGTGGGGAGATCACTGTGGACTAGTGGGGAGATCACTGTGGACTAGTGGGGAGATCACTGTGGACAAGTGGGGAGATCACTGTGGACTAGTGGGGAGATCACTGTGGACAAGTGGGGAGATCACTGTGGACAAGTGGGGAGATCACTGTGGACAAGTGGGGAGATCATTGTGGACAAGTGGGGAGATCACCTTGGAAAAGTGTGGAGATGAATGCGGACAAGTGGGGAGATCACTGTGGACAAGTGGGAAGATCACTGTGGACGAGTGGGGAGATCACTGTGGACCCATGTTGAGATCACTGTGGACAAGTGTGGAGATCACTGTGGTTAAGTGGGGAATCACTGTGGACTAGTGGGGAGATCACTGTGGACAAGTGTGGAGATCACTGTGGACAAGTGGGGAGATCACTGTTGACGAGTGGGGAGATCACTGTGGACAAGTGGGGAGATCACTGTTGACGAGTGGGGAGATCACTGTGGACAAGTGGGGAGATCACTGTTGACGAGTGGGAAGATCACTGTGGACGAGTGGGGAGATCACTGTGGACCCATGTTGAGATCACTGTGGACAAGTGTGGAGATCACTCTGGTTAAGTGGGGAATCACTGTGGACTAGTGGGGAGATCACTGTGGACAAGTGTGGAGATCACTGTGGACAAGTGGGGAGATCACTGTGGACAAGTGTGGAGATCACTGTGGACAAGTGGGGAGATCACTGTGGACAAGTGTGGAGATCACTGTGGACAAGTGGGGAGATCACTGTTCACATGTGTGGAAATTGCTAAGGTTTTTTTAGTCGTAGAGAGAGAGAGAGAGAAAGAGAGTTCAATCGAATGGCACAATTGAATTGAAATCAATATTTTAATAGATTGAAAACAATAGAAATATGAATATGGAGTGTATAACAGTTGGTTATGGCGCAATTGATAATAATTACGATATATTGTGTGGGAGAGAATGGAAAAACTGAGTGGGAGAATGTGAAAGGTGTAATGAGAGATTTGAAAGAGTTTGTGAGAAAATGGGAAACATTTACTTTGAGTATGGGACAGATTTGGTGAGACAGTCGAAATGATTGTGTGATAGGGCCGGAATGATTGAGTGAAAGAGATCTTAAGGGATAAAATGGACAGGTATAGTTAGAGAGAAGAGAGACAGAGCGTGTGTGTAACTGCAGGAGTGGGGGAAGACATGTGAGACTCTGTTGGAGAGACTACTTGGAGGAGGGGTGGAAAGGCGCACATCGAATGTGAAATACATGTGTAGGAAATAAGTACAGTTGAAACCATTATTGACTTCTAGATACAAGAGACTCTGTCATACAAAGCTTGGACCTAGAATGACAACAACACCAATTCACCAGTACTTGGAAATGGCTTGAACTGATCAAGCTGACTTTCTCACCATCATGACGTGTTTGCGTAATGAATTGCCAAACAGTCTTAAGCTGATGGCAGAAAGAAATATAAGAATATTTGAATTACATACAAAGCTCCTTCATAACTCAGAGTCTGTTAGCTAGGATCTTTTCAAAGGCAGTCTCTTTGAGCCTTCACCCGACTGAATCGTTAGAGTGTACGAAGGCAGTCTCTTTGATCCGTCACCCGACTGAATCAGACTGTACGAAGGCAGTCTCTTTGAGCCGTCACCCGACTGAATCAGAGTGTACGAAGGCAGTCTCTTTGAGCCGTCACCCGACTGAATCAGAGTGTACGAAGGCAGTCTCTTTGAGCCGTCACCCGACTGAATCATTAGAGTGCACGAAGGCAGTCTCTTTGAGCCGTCCCCCGACTGAATCGTTAGAGTGTACGCAGGCAGTCTCTTTAAACGTCCCCTGACTGAATCGTTAGAGTGTACGGAGGCAGTCTCTTTGAGCCGTCCCCCGACTGAATCGTTAGAGTGTACGGAGGCAGTCTCTTTGAGCCGTCCCACGACTGAATCGTTAGAGTGTACGAAGGCAGTCTCTTTGAGCCGTCCCCCGACTGAATCGTTAGAGTTTACGAAGGCAGCCTCTTTGAGCCGTCCCCCGACTGAATCGTTAGAGTGTACGAAGGCAGTCTCTTTGAGCCGTCACCCGACTGAATCAGAGTGTACGAAGGCACTCTATTTGAGCCGTCACCCGACTGAATCAGAGTGTACGGAGGCAGTCTCTTTGAGCCGTCCCCCGACTGAATCGTTAGAGTTTACGGAGGCAGTCTCTTTGAGCCGTCCCCCGACTGAATCGTGAGAGTGTACGAAGGCAGTCTCTTTGAGCCGTCACCCGACTGAATCGTTAGAGTGTACGGAGGCAGTCTCTTTGAGCCGTCCCCCGACTGAATCGTTAGAGTGTACGAAGGCAGTCTCTTTGAGCCTTCCCCCGACTGAATCTTCCCCCGACTGCATCGTTAGAGTTTACGGAGGCAGTCTCTTTGTGCCGTCCCCGGACTGAAGCGTGAGAGTGTACGAAGGCAGTCTCTTTGAGCCGTCAACCGACTGAATCGTTAGAGTGTACGGAGGCAGTCTCTTTGAGCCGTCCCCCGACTGAATCGTTAGAGTGTACGAAGGCAGTCTCTTTGAGCCTTCCCCCGATTGAATCGTTAGAGTGTACGATGGCAGTCTCTTTGAGCCTTCCCCCGATTGAATCGTTAGAGTGTACGAAGGCAGTCTCTTTGAGCCTTCCCCCGATTGAATCGTTAGAGTGTAAGAAGGCAGTCTCTTTGAGCCGTCCCCCGACTGAATCGTTAAAGTGTGCGGAGGGGTCTGAAACAAATGCGAATTCAGGGGGTCTCGACTATGTATGAGATCCAAAGTTCGAATGTGGAAACAAAATTGAATTACCAACTATGAATTCAGGGAGGGTTTGGCGAAACTCAGAAGTGCTAGGGGGCCTTCTTAAGTCACGTGACTGCTCTGAGAACACAAACCGTGACCCGCTTCACCGTGACCCGCTTCACCGTGACCCGCTTCACCGTGACCCGCTTCACCGTGACCCGCTTCACCGTGACCCGCTTCACCGTGACCCGCTTCACCGTGACCCGCTTCACCGTGACCCGCTTCACCGTGACCNACCGTGACCCCGTTCGCCGTGACCCGCTTTACCGTGACCCGCTTCACCGTGACCCGCTTCACCGTGACCCGCTTCACCGTGACCCACTTCACCGTGACCCCCTTCACCGTGACACGCTTCACCGTGACCCGCTTCACCGTGACCCGCTTCACCGTGACCCTCTTCACCGTGACCTGCTTCACCGTGACACCCTTCACCGTGACCCACTTCACCGTGACTCGCTTCAATGTGACCTGCTTCATCGCAACCCGCTTCAACGTGACCCGCTTCAACGTGACCCGCCTCAACGTGAACTGCTTTAACGTGACCCGATTTCACGTGACCTGTCTAAACGTGACCTGCTTCAACGTGACCTGCCTCAACGTGACCAGTTTCAACGTGACCCGTTCAATAGGACTCGCTTCAATGTGACCCGCTTCAGTGTGACCCGCTTCACAATGACCCGCTAGAACTGCCTCTGCTATAACGCGAATTCAGATATAACGCGGTCCTGGCATAGCTAAAAAAAAAACATATATTCATTTGCAAATAAATTTATTTTAGAGGACATTTTAAAAAAAAAATGGGTGCCAAAAAATTGTCCGTTGATTCGTGGGTGAGGTGACGTATTAATTTGAAAATAATATGATTGCTGCCTGGTTCACGACGTTGAAATGAGTAAGGTTACAGACGAAAGCCTCCTTTAAGATGGTTGATATCGTTTGACTCAGGAACCAAGGCTCTTGCCAGACCACGTGGTATGTGAACTTTTAGGGCGCATTGGGTCGCGTTAGCAGCAAAGGTGTTGGTCTAATGCAGAACCCCGTTTTAACGCGATCCGATTTTGGCGTTATATCGGGGCTCTACTGTACGTTGGTTAAAATGTTGTCTTCGGTGTGCTTACTCTGAGGAGCTTCACACTTTTCAGGGCCATTTAGTACCTTTCCAGACAGACTAAATGTATAGAAATCACATGAATACGCACAATTCACCACTCTATATAGAAAAGCACAATTCACCACTCTATATAAAACAGCACCATTCAACAATCATTATAGAACAGCACAATTCACCACTCTATATAGAACAGCACAATTCACCAATCTATATAGAGCAGCACAATTCACCAATCTATATAGAACAGCACAATTCACCACTCTATAATATAGAACAGCACAATTCACCACTTTATATAGAACAGCACAATTCACCAATCTATATAGAACAGCACAATTCACCAATCTATATAGAACAGCACAATTTATCAATCTATAAATAGAACAGCACAATTCACCAATCTATACAGAACAGCACAATTCAGCACTCTATATAGAACAGCAAAATTCACCAATCTATATAGAACAGCACAATTCACCAATCTATATAAAAACAGCACAGTTCACCAATCTATATATAACAGCACAATTCAGCACTCTATATAGAACAGCACAATTCACCAATCTATATAGAACAGCACAATTCACCAATCTATATAAAAACAGCACAATCACCACTCTATATAGAAAATAACAACTCCGCTCATCTGATAGTGGCAAACTCTCGATACCACAAGGGGCGCACTTTCGCATTTGCTGGCCCAACAATTTGGAACACTCTTCCTGTCGCTATCAGAAACAGCCAGACACTGGAGTCTTTCAAAACTGATTTGAAGACTTATTTTTATCGCAAACACCTGCTGGGATGATGCTGTCTATCTAGCTATTATCATTTAGATGTATATTGGCCTGTGTTGTTTATGGTTGCAAGGTATGAAAGACTTAGAATGGGTATTCTTGTTTGTAATTTTGTAATGTTGAATTTTGCACTTCAATGTGGTATGTACCGCGCTTCGAGCCTTTAGATATGAAGCGTGGTTTTTAAATAATCTTTATTATTATTATATGACCACTCCATATAGAACAGCAAAATTCATCACTTTATGGACTTAAACTTAAAGAAGGTCATGTTTCATTAATCTACATTTCTCATGCACTTTCCATAAATGTAAGTGTTAAGTATAGCTTGATCAGCATAGTTTGGTCATTATAGTTTGGTCATTATAGTTTGGTCATTACAGTTTGGTCATTATAGTTTGGTCATTATAGTTTGGTCATTATAGTTTGGTCATTATAGTTTGGTCATTATAGTTTGGTCATTATAAGTTGGTCATTATAGTTTGGTCATTATAGTTTGGTCATTATAGTTTGGTCATTATAGTTTGGTCATTATGGTTTCTTCATTTGTGTGCGCACTTGGCATCCAGAAAATATGGTAAGCTTACTCATTATAGCTTGCGCCGTATAATTTGGTCATTATAGCTTGATCAGTATAGAATTAGTCAATATAGTTTGGTTTGCATAGAATGTTAGACCCAGTTTAATGATACGACTCGCCTATCGCCATTTACAAGTTTTTCTTTGAGTTTATTATATTCTGTCATCTGGTGCTCAAATAAAACTTTTTTTTTAAACGACCTTTAGCTCAGAATGCATTCTATAAATTATGTGTATTTTCCAGCACCATCAACTCCTAGCACAGGGCAGGACAAGAATGTCCCACTCTAACCATGCCAGGTTCAACAGGAGCTCCTATGATCGGCTGCATGATGCAGAGACAGGAGACAGCAGGGATTTTGGTGACCTCACACTCAGGAGGAAAAACAGGTAAATAGTAATGTGTAGGGTCACAGATATTCAGAGGACAGCAGCTGGTTGTATCAGAGGTGGATCCAGAAGACAGCAGCTGGTTGTATCAGAGGTGGATCCAGAAGACAGCAGCTGGTTGTATCAGAGGTGGATCAGAAGACAGCAGCTGGTTGTATCAGAGGTGGATCCAGAAGACAGCAGCTGGTTGTATCAGAGGTGGATCCAGAAGATAGTAGCTGGTTGTATCAGAGGTGGATCCAGAAGATAGTAGCTGTTTGTATCAGAGGTGGATCCAGAAGATAGTAGATGGTTGTATCAGAGGTGGACCCAGAAGATAGTAGCTGGTTGTATCAGAGGTGGATCCAGAAGATAGTAGCTGGTTGTATCAGAGGTGGATCCAGAAGATATTAGCTGGTTGTACCACAGGTTGGATCCAGAAGATAGTGGCTGGTTGTATCAGAGGTGGATCCACACTAAGGACTAGCCACACTAAGGACTAGCCATACTAAGGACTAGCCACACTAAGGACTAGCCACACTAAGGACTAGCCATACTAAGGACTAGCCACACTAAGGACTAGCCACACTAAGAACTAGCCACACTGAGGACTAGCCATACTAACGACTAGCCACACTAAGGACTAGCCACACTAAGGACTAACCACACTAAAGAGTAGCCACACATAAGACTAGCCATCCTCCAAAAGAAAGATGCACTCAGTCACCTTTGCCTGTCAGGTAACAGTGGCAAGAACACGTGACCAAAGGTGCTGTTTGTTAACGAGTCACAGTACTGTGCGATTTCCTGGTCAGATTGCTTTTCAACAATAGTTATTGGCAGCTGCGTGATGACGTCATCGCAATGACCAGGACCTGTCTGTTGCTAAAAACATTAATAAATGAGACAGGTGAAAGTCACCAAGAAAAGAAAGAAAGAAAAACACCCAATGCAATGATCACATCCTGTTTACGTTTTTAGCTTCGTGACGTCACACTTTAACCGGCAATATTCGATTCAGTCCAGTGGTTTTGAGTCAGGAATATTTTTCACACTCTTGATTTAGTGACGTGATTCATAAAAGGAGTGTCTGGCTGTCCAGGCAGACGTAAATAATGGTGGACGTCTTTACATTTTTTATTTAGCGTCTGCACATTTTTGTCACACATTCACACACAAGGCATACACACTTACACAGGCAACAATGACCCCCCACCCCCTCTTCACCTGATACCAAAGCATATATTTCAACTTGCTGACCAGTCCTAATGTAATCTAAGTAGCACCCACAGTAGAAACTATCTAAGTTTACGGTGACCGCAAGTGAAAGAATTCAAGTTGGCAAAAAACATGTGTTATTATAAGGTTCTTTTCTTTTAAGCTATTGCCTTGTGAGAAAGGTGGTGTTTCTAAAAGGGAGAAAGGTGATGTTTCTAAAAGGGAGAAAGGTGATGTTTCTAAAAGTGAGAAAGGTGGTGCTCCTAAAAGTGAGAAAGGTGATGTTTCTAAAAGTGAGAAAGGTGATGCTCCTAAAAGTGAGAAAGGTGATGTTCCTAAAAGTGAGAAAGGTGATGTTTCTAAAAGTGAGAAAGGTGATGTTTCTAAAAGTGAGAAAGGTGGTGCTCCTAAAAGTGAGAAAGGTGGTGCTCCTAAAAGTGAGAAAGGTGATGTTTCTAAAAGTGAGAAAGGTGATGTTTCTAAAAGTGAGAAAGGTGATGTTTCTAAAAGTGAGAAAGGTGATGTTTCTAAAAGTGAGAAAGGTGATGTTTCTAAAAGTGAGAAAGGTGATGTTTCTAAAAGTGAGAAAGGTGATGTTTCTAAAAGTGAGAAAGGTGATGTTTCTAAAAGTGAGAAAGGTGATGTTTCTAAAAGTGAGAAAGGTGATGTTTCTAAAAGTGAGAAAGGTGATGTTTCTAAAAGTGAGAAAGGTGATGTTTCTAAAAGTGAGAAAGGTGATGTTTCTAAAAGTGAGAAAGGTGATGTTTCTAAAAGTGAGAAAGGTGATGTTTCTAAAAGTGAGAAAGGTGATGTTTCTAAAAGTGAGAAAGGTGATGTTTCTAAAAGTGAGAAAGGTGATGTTTCTAAAAGTGAGAAAGGTGATGTTTCTAAAAGTGAGAAAGGTGATGTTTCTAAAAGTGAGAAAGGTGATGTTTCTAAAAGTGAGAAAGGTGATGTTTCTAAAAGTGAGAAAGGTGATGTTTCTAAAAGTGAGAAAGGTGATGTTTCTAAAAGTGAGAAAGGTGATGTTTCTAAAAGTGAGAAAGGTGATGTTTCTAAAAGTGAGAAAGGTGATGTTTCTAAAATTGAGAAAGGTGATGTTTCTAAAAGTGAGAAAGGTGATGTTTCTAAAAGGGAGAAAGGTGATGTTTCTAAAAGTGAGAAAGGTGATGTTTCTAAAAGTGAGAAAGGTGATGTTCCTAAAAGTGAGAAAGGTGGTGTTTCTAAAAGTGAGAAAGGTGGTGTTTCTAAAAGTGAGAAAGGTGGCGGACTGTTGAATCAGGGTGGCCCTATGGCGGACTGTTGAATCAGGTGACTCTATGGCGGACTGTTGAATCAGGTGACTCTATGGCGGACTGTTGAATCAGGGTGACCCTATGGCGGACTGTTGAATCAGGGTGACCCTATGGCGGACTGTTGAATCAGGGTGACTCTATGGCGGACTGTTGAATCAGGGTGGCCTTATGGCGGACTGTTGAATCAGGGTGGCCTTATGGCGGACTGTTGAATCAGGGTGACCCAATGGCGGACTGTTAAATCAGGGTGACCCTATGGCGGACTGTTGAATCAGGGTGACCCTATGGCGGACTGTTGAATCAGGGTTACCTGGCGGACTGTGTCACTGTTTGCAGCCAATCAATGCCACCTCTACGAGATAGAAACAACCGAAGGGACCATTTTGATATGGTCATTTATGTGATAAAAATGATTATTTACAATGCCGTAAAAAATATTTCCATTTTGTAGATCAATAAAGGGTCTTATCTAATATTACATTAGCGTATATTCTTCTTATTTTATCTTTCGAGGGCCCACGATCAATGAATTGATCATTCTTGCTTTTATGTTTCCATCGGAGTTCGCCATGTTACTGTGCATGGTTTTCAAGGGGATACCTCACTGGTTTCAAGGGCTACTCAGCAGTGGTATTATGAACTGGGGGTTGGAAGACAGGAGGCAATAGACGCAAATTTGTCCAGTGTAGTCGCCTCAACTGTTACTTTTGGAAGCTTGTTCCAGTCCCCTATTGTCTTTGGCAGGAATGAGGAGCTTCTGTACTGAGTTCTTGTTTTATTAGCCGAAACTGCCAGTCGTGACCTCGTCGCTGTCTAGTGGGGAAATGGAAGAGTTTCTGTTTAATGTTGGAGCAGTGGACAAACCCATTTTTGTTCTTGTACAACATGGTGAGCTTGGATAGTCGTCGTCGTTCTTCCAATGTTGACCAGCCCAGTGTTTCTAGCATGCTGCCAACTCTTGAGGTGTTTCTGTCGCGGTTCATGACAAAGCGTGCTGGCCGTCGCTAGACCGCCTCCAACCTGTCGATGCTTTTCAGGGTAATGGGTCTCAGATTGTAGATGGACACTCTAAAAGTTGCCAGACAAAGGCTTTATAGGCTTTTTCTTTCACGCTTGAGTTTCCGATCTTCAGCTATCGCCATAGGAACCCCAAGGTCCTGTTTGTCATGTTTGTCCGGTTGCACACATTCTTAACGTGCCCGTCCCAGCGGACCTCTCTTTGAATAGTAACACCTAGGTACCTAGCGGAGGACACTGGCTCAAGAATATGGCCATGCAATTCGTAAGAGTGGTGTAGAGGGTATCTGCTTCTGGAGACTGGCAATTGACGGGTTGAGATTTCATGTCCCAGCTCATCTCCCACCCTACTTAACCAATCAATGGAACATATTATTTTAGTTTGCTCTCATACACACTTTGCGCTATCATACACATTCTGCCCCACATACACACACTGCGCCACCATAACACTCTACGCCACCATACACACTCTGCGCCACCATACACACTCTGCGCCATCATATACACTCCGCGCCATCATACACACTCCGCGCCATCATACACACTCCGCGCCATCATACACACTCCGCGCCATCATACACTTGCCTCTAACATAAGTAGGATAGAGAATTAGAAAGCATAGATTTCTGTATGTGTTACGGTGGCCATTTGGTAAGGGGTTTTTGGACATAAAAAAAAATACATTTTATTGAAAAAAACGTGTGAATGAGGTAAGACAAGATCAGATGTGATGAGATAAGATGAGCTCAGATAAGATCTGATGAGATAAGATGTGCTCAGATAATATGTGATAAGATAAGATGAGATGAAATAAGATGCTTTATTGATCATAAGAAATGGAAATTTGTTTTGATTACATTGCGCATATTCTTTTCAGCTTTGAAAGTTTTTGAATGTCCCCCCCTCCCCCCTCCAAGTCCCTTGTTATATAACAAAGCGTTGGATACAGGGGTCTCCAAACTTTTCAGCCCAAGGGCCGCATTAACTATCAAACAGCAGTTCGGGGTCGACTACACACTCGAGGTCCAAATAAAAAATCAAAAATCAAAACATGGATGTTGTTTTTAATTATTTATTTAAAAATTATTTCATTCAGTTATTATTTAATAACACTTGGTACACGTCACATGAACACCTGTATTGGTTGGCATGGTGAAATTATTTCCTGGATGCCAAAATAGCAGATATTTCTGGCTTTAGATTTAATGTCCCTAACATCAACAGTGACCTAAGATTATCATCGGACAAGTTTGTTCTCAAATTGTTCTTCACAAATTTCATTCTTGAAAATGTTTGTTTACACAGTTATATTGTTCCAAAGACAGAAAGGTAACTTGATGCCACAGTTTTGACATTAGGAAATTCTTCCTTGGGCAAAACTGGTAAAAACAACCAGTCTTTCTGTGAACTTGACCCCAAGGAAGTCATTTGCTTGCAACTCATTGACCTCGAGCTGCATTTCATCTGGGCAACTGGCCACATCTGATTCAAATTGGTTTTGGAACAGTCTCACTTTTTCTGCCTTTGAATCCAAGTCAGAAAACCGCTGCTGAAACTGCAGCTGGAGGTCTTTGATGATCTCGCATGCAAATGACGTTGTGGACCTCCGCTGTTGCTTCAGCCATGAAGAACGTCCACTGCTGAAAGTGTGTCAAGTTGTTTGCCTGTACTTGTTCCAAAAACAAGACGAGTTTGGATCTGAAGGCCTTTAGGTGGATCTATAGATCAGGAACTAGATTTTCCTCTCTTTGTAGCTTTAGGTTCAGAAAATTTAAATTACTAGTGATGTTTTCAGCAAAGACCCATTTCCATACCCACTCTTCATCAGACACTAATGGCTGTGGCTTGCCTTTACTTTACAGAAAGTCACTTATTTCCTTTCTTAACTTAAATACTCTGCTCAGAACTTTCTCACAACTTAGCCATCTTACTGCTGTGTAATATGGTAAATCTTGCAATTCTGTGTCTGTATCTTTCAACAGGTCTCTGAACTGTCTAGGTCTATGGCCGCATCCGGCCCGCGGGCCGTTGTTTGGGGACCCCTGCGTTTGAAGAACCATTGTTTGAACGGTTGTCGGAGTCTTCAAAGTGCCATGCCAACCATTGTGTTCATGCCAACCATTGTGTTCAGGCCAACCATTGTGTTCAGACCAGCCATTGTGTTCAGGCCAACCATTGTGTTCAGGCCAGCCATTGTGTTCAGGCCAGCCATTGTGTTCAGGCCAACCATTGTGTTCAGGCCAGCCATTGTGTTCAGGCCAAACAGTGTTTTCAGGCCAGCCATTATGTTCAGGCCAGCCATTGTGTTCAGGCCAACCATTCTGTTCAGGCCAACCATTGTGTTCAGGCCAAACAGTGTGTTCAGTCAGTTAATCTGTTAAATGTGGAGGCTCTTGGGTGTGCGTTGTCATTTTGAACACTGTCTGATCATTTTGTTCGAACGGAGCTCTCTGCTCTCTTCAAGATCAAAGACAATCATAACGTCATAATGTTAAGAAGGCGAGGTCAGAGGTGAGCTAACAGTCTGTGCAAATGGGTTAGGGATAAATTAGGGTCAAAGGTCAATACATTGTTGTAAGAATAACGTTGTCTTCTTCTTCCACCAACGCAAAGATTCTTTTAAAAAAATTGTATTTATAATTGTCATTAGATTTGTCATTTTTAAATTATACACCAGGTTTGGAAAGAAAAGTATAAAGATTATCGCGCCAGAATAATAATTTTTTGTGTGTGTAACTCATGAAATCTAAGAGAATCCGAACATAAATAAGCAACAGCCAGTGGTTGGTCTCATTGCTCTCGTTAAGATTTGCGACACAGAGACTCTCTTTCAAGGCGTCCTCTGAGTTTAGGCTCAATAGCAACACGCCGTCCAAGAACACATGCTTCACCTATTGGCTCGTGTGTTTCGATCGAGAAGATTTCCTACAACACAATACTGAAGTAAACAGAGCTCCTCTACTAGGATATTTCTCATGGCTCTACTTCTGTGTGTCAGCCATACCTCACTAATCAACTCAGGTCCCTAAATTTTTTTTTTATCCATAGCTGGAGACATAAGACTCGACCTAACAGTTTCGACATTCAATCCACATCCGTGGTCAAAATCTCCCATGGATAAAATATGCGCGCCTTGTTTTTATAAGGATATGTAAATGTAGTATTTACAGATGTGCACACCTTGTAGTATAGAAAAGGGAGAGGGGGGGGGGGAGGAGTACGCCCTTATTTTCCGAAGGTTCGGGTCATGTCAACGCACAAGTTAAACACTTATTACATTTTGGGGGGGGGGGTGCTGTGGCGTAAGAAGCTATGTCCTATATACCTTCTGACCTTCTGCAAATTAGGCTGTGTTCAGTGTGACTGCGCTTACCTGACGGTCCCTTTAGTATGACTGTCTGAGAGTTTGATAGTAAGACTGTCGAAGCGTTGCAGTACGTCTTTCGGGACACTGGATAGTGGATAGTGGACTGTTGAGGATTGGATAACTGCTAGAATGATCCACCACACTCGTGTGTAAGTTAGTCTGTGTGGTTTTTTTTTAAAAATAAATTTTATTTTGTAAGGGATGGGGTCAAGGCAGCTGCTTGTACCTTTGTTTTGATCTAAGAGCTTTGAGATTAGAGGCTCAATTAAAGTGTTATGATGAATAATTAGGGCTTCGTCTTTGCACATGTATGAATGCCATGATGTCGCTGTAGGTAATGGGATCCCCTCAGCTGCGGTAGTTGAGGCCAATCATAGGATATGTAACTATGGGCCATGATTGTATTTCGTTGACGTGGTAGAATGACATATCATTTCCATCACGTTGCTGTGTCGTGGTTAATCGTATATTCAAGGATTTGATGAAATATTCGTAGAATAAATCAATGGCTTATCTTGACGATAGCATAAATTATACAAGAGTTAATGTTCCAATACTATACAGGGGCGTAGGAACTATGTTCGGGGGGGGGGGCGTGGGGCGGTCCAAGCGGTTGACAATTTTTTGAGGTCGGCATTTTCTGTTTACTTCAAATACTACGTACGTTTAATTTTTATTGTGTTTTCTGAATGTCTCACCATTTTCGCGACTTAGTGGCAGCAAAGTCAAAGATTGTCTCGGGCGTCACGAGTTACGGACACCTGAAGGCACTGGCATAATAGAATTAATAATATAATAATTGTTTCACACACTAATGTGCACCAAAAGAACGATCCCCTAGATATTGGTCCAACTTGATATGTCGTGAGATATCATTGGTGTAACCAGGGCTGTGGCCGGCAATTGATATGTCGTGAGATATCATTGGTGTAACCAGGGCTGTGGCCGGCAATTGATATGCCGTGAGATATCATTGGTGTAACCAGGGCTGTGGCCGGCAAAAAGCTACGCACGGAGCAAAGCCTTCATTGTGCCCCCTAAAGTATATTATAATAATACCCATGTTTCACATGAAGTAAAAGACTTTTAGCACCCTCTGAAGTTGGTCCCCTTCACCATCCTTCTAATGGCCCGGTATACAATAGTTATATCTCTGAAGTTGGCCCCCTTCCCCCTCCTTCTAATGGCCCGGTATACAATAGTTATTTGTCTGAAGTTGGCCCCATTCCTCCTCTTTCTAATGGCCCGGTATACAATAGTTATATCTCTGAAGTTGGTCCCCTTGACCATCCTTCTAATGGCCCGGTATACAATAGTTATATCTCTAAAATTGGGCACTTTCCCCCTCCTTCTAATAGCCCGGTATAATTACAAAAGTTTTATTGTTGTAGACCATTGGTACACCATTAACTGAAAAGAGCATTTTCATCAATGTGTTGAATCAGGTTAAACGTCTATCTCAATACAAATTGATAAAACCATCATAACACAGTTTACTAATCATCCATGACGGCGCCACGCGTCAGAAAATGCAAGGGGGTGGGGTGCCATGAGTAAGGGGTGGTGTGTGATTAAAGGGTCTGTTTAGCGTTACTAATTTGTGACGTCATTTAAGGCTAAAAAAAAATTAAACCAATGTTTCCCCAACATTCTCTATACTCTGCACCCCTTGGAATTATTTGACTAGTCTTGCAACCCTAGGAATTATTTGACTAGTCTTGCACCCCTAGGAATTATTTGACTAGTCTTGCACCCCTAGGGATTATTTGAATAGTCTCGCACCCCCTACGGATTATTTGACTAGTCTAGCACCCCTAAGAATTCATTGACTAGTCTCATACCCCCTACACAAATTAAATTTAAATTTAATTTAATTTAAAATTTGAATAAAATGGACTTGTGACTTGTTACATTAAGGAAAATGTACATAGGGAAATGTTAAAATGTAGATCAACATTTATAGCATAAATGAAAAGCTACTGTTTCCTATGTTCTTTTAATCCATTTCCTTGCACTCTCTGAAGTGAATCTGTTGCACTCTCTCAAGTGAATCTGTTGCACTCTCTCAAGTGAATCTGTTGCACTCTCTCAAATGAAACTGTTGTATTCTCTGAATTGAATCTGTTGCACTCTCTGAAGTGAATCTGTTCCACTCTCTCAAATGAAACTGTTGCACTCTCTCAAATGAATCTTTTGCACTCTCTGAAGTAAATCTGTTGCACTCTCTGAAGTGAATCTGTTCCACTCTCTCAAATGAAACTGTTGCACTCTCTCAAATGAATCTTTTGCACTCTCTGAAGTAAATCTGTTGCACTCTCTGAAGTAAATCTGTTGCACTCTCTGAAGTGAATCTGTTGCACTCTCTGAAGTGAATCTGTTGCACTCTCTGAAGTAAATCTGTTGCACTCTCTGAAGTAAATCTGTTGCACTCTCTGAAGTAAATCTGTTGCACTCTCTGAAGTAAATCTGTTGCACTCTCTGAAGTAAATCTGTTGCACTCTCTGAAGTAAATCTGTTGCACTCTCTGAAGTGAATCTGTTGCACTCTCTGAAGTAAATCTGTTGCACTCTCTGAAGTAAATCTGTTGCACTCTCTGAAGTAAATCTGTTGCACTCTCTGAAGTGAATCTGTTGCACTCTCTGAAGTGAATCTGTTGCACTCTCTGAAGTAAATCTGTTGCACTCTCTGAAGTAAATCTGTTGCACTCTCTGAAGTAAATCTGTTGCACTCTCTGAAGTAAATCTGTTGCACTCTCTGAAGTAAATCTGTTGCACTCTCTGAAGTGAATCTGTTGCACTCTCTGAAGTAAATCTGTTGCACTCTCTGAAGTAAATCTGTTGCACTCTCTGAAGTAAATCTGTTGCACTCTCTGAAGTGAATCTGTTGCACTCTCTGAAGTGAATCTGTTGCACTCTCTGAAGTAAATCTGTTGCACTCTCTGAAGTGACTCTGTTATACATTTCTTGAAGTTGTGAAATATATACAAACAGCCAATCCAAATAAACGAAGACTGTGGAACTCTTCCATGATACAACAATTATTTAAAGCATTTTAATAACCCATGCAAGGCTATTTACCTGATGGGAATGGATATTCCATATCGTTGTGCATATAGACCCTAAGACATGGATGTTCCATATCGTCCTGTATATATCTTTAAACTTTACTATCCTGACTGATTCCCCCTCTGATCGAGAAGCAATGCTGCTGGTTAGCCGTCCATGGCTTGACATGTAAATAGTTCTTGAATATGAGGAGTGAATATACATTTGTTTTGTTTTATTTAATTGATGTATGTTAATTTTTAAGTTCACGATTATGTTTGTTACATTGCACCACCAACAATAATAATAATAATAATAATAATAATAATAATAATATAGTCTCTAAGACATGGCTATTCCATATCGTCTTGTATATAGACTCTGAGACATGGATATTTTTATGTACAGCGAGGTGAGCCCAGCCCTAGCCTGGGGTACCACGCTATATAAGACCTCTTATTATTATTATTATTATTATATTCCAAATCGTCATGAATACAGACGCAGTTTTAAGCTAGGCTCATATTCATGCGGGAATAAAATTGAATATTGACTGACACCAGACTTATTGACTTCATTTAATACCGAAATTTTTATCCATTTATAAATAAAAAATATTTATCACGAAACTGTGTGTCATTTCAACTATTAGCCTAGACGAGAACTCTCTAGACCAGAACTCTCTAGACAAGAACTCTCTAGACCAGAACTCTCTAGACCAGAACTCTCTAGACCAGAACTCTCTAGATCAGAACTCTCTAGACGAGAACTCTCTAGACCAGAACTCTCTAGATCAGAACTCTCTAGATCAGAACTCTCTAGACCAGAACTCTCTAGATCAGAACTCTCTAGACCAGAACTTTCTAAATCAGAACTCTCTAGATCAGAACCTTCTAGACCAGAACTCTCTAGATCAGAACTCTCTAGACCAGAACTCTCTAGACGAGAACTCTCTAGACCAAAACTCTCTAGACCAGAACTCTCTAGACCAGAACTCTCTAGACCAGAACTCTCTAGACCAGAACTCTCTAGACCAGAACTCTCTAGACGAGAACTCTCTAGACCAGAACTCTCTAGACCAGAACTCTCTAGATCAGAACTCTCTAGACGAGAACTCTCTAGACCAGAACTCTCTAGATCAGAACTCTCTAGACGAGAACTCTCTAGACCATAACTCTCTAGACGAGAATTCTCTAGACCAGAACTCTCTAGACCAGAACTCTCTAGACCAGAACTCTCTAGACCAGAACTCTCTAGACCAGAACTCTCTAGACCAGAACTCTCTAGATCAGAACTCTCTAGACCAGAACTCTCTAGATCAGAACCCTCTAGATCAGAACCTTCTAGACCAGAACTCTCTAGACCAGAACTCTCTAGACTAGAACTTTCTAGACCAGAACTCTCTAAACCAGAACTCTCTAGACCAGAACTCTCTAGACCAGAACTCTCTAGATCAGAACTCTCTAGACCATCTCTAGACCAGAACTCTCTAGACCAGAACTCTCTAGACAGAACCGTCCAACATTTTTGACTACGTGGGCCAATTTTATTTCCGCAAATTCGAGGGCCGCACTTGACATCTCAAAATCATTTTTTGTGAAGTTTTAAGAAAATTATTTTCATTAATACGTATTACCTTATGCATAAAGAGCCATATATCCAATAATATAAAGAGTCATATATCCAATAATATAAAGAGTCATATATCCAATAATATAAAGAGTCATATATCCAATAATATCAAGAGTCATGTATCCAATAATATCAAGAGTCATATATCCAATAATATCAAGAGTCATATATCCAATAATATCAAGAGTCATGTATCCAATAATATCAAGAGTCAATTATCCAAAAATATCAAGAGTCGTGTATCCAATAATATCAAGAGTAATGTATCCAATAATATCATGAGCCATTTATCCAATAATATCATGAGTCATATATCCAATGGCATAAAGAGTCATATACCCAATAGCATAGAGAGTCATATATGCAATGGCATAAAAAGTCATATACCCAACAGCATAGACAGTCATATATTCAATAGCACAAAGAGTCATATATTCAATAGCACAAAGAGTCATATATTCAATAGCACAAAGAGTCATATATTCAATAGCACAAAGAGTCATATATTCAATAGCACAAAGAGTCATATATTCAATAGCACAAAGAGTCATATATTCAATAGCACAAAGAGTCATATATTCAATAGCACAAAGAGTGATATATTCAATAGCACAAAGAGTCATATATTCAATAGCACAAAGAGTCATATATTCAATAGCACAAAGAGTCATATATTCAATAGCACAAAGAGTCATATATTCAATAGCACAAAGAGTCATATATTCAATAGCACAAAGAGTCATATATTCAATAGCACAAAGAGTCATATATTCAATAGCACAAAGAGTCATATATTCAATAGCACAAAGAGTCATATATCATATATTCAATAGCACAAAGAGTCATATATTCAATAGCACAAAGAGTCATATATTCAATAGCACAAAGAGTCATATATTCAATAGCACAAAGAGTCATATATTCAATAGCACAAAGAGTCATATATTCAATAGCACAAAGAGTGATATATTCAATAGCACAAAGAGTCATATATTCAATAGCACAAAGAGTCATATATTCAATAGCACAAAGAGTCATATATTCAATAGCACAAAGAGTCATATATTCAATAGCACAAAGAGTCATATATTCAATAGCACAAAGAGTCATATATTCAATAGCACAAAGAGTCATATATTCAATAGCACAAAGAGTCATATATTCAATAGCACAAAGAGTGATATATTCAATAGCACAAAGAGTCATATATTCAATAGCACAAAGAGTCATATATTCAATAGCACAAAGAGTCATATATTCAATAGCACAAAGAGTCATATATTCAATAGCACAAAGAGTCATATATTCAATAGCACAAAGAGTCATATATTCAATAGCACAAAGAGTCATATATCCTTTTTAGATTTTATAAATGTTCACCAGTCAAAGAGTTGCGTGTTGTTTTTTGACTTTATGTAGGTCATTACAGAGAACCCAGCTTCACTGGTTTAGGGTGTTTCCCAAAACTCTGACAACCAGGTACTTATCCCCAACGTCTGAAGAATACAGGATGGACGCACACTCTGCCAAACCTGGCTAGACTTCCTGTATATATAACATGATACCATACATGGTTCATACTGCCAAATGGAGTCATTCAAGTGTGACACCTTTATAACCTCAGCTCCCATCTCGATTTCTCTGACCCGAAGTCTCACATAATGTTATACGGTATCATTCTCAACCGACAAAGCGGGTAGTTCAGTCGCTGTGCGCGCCTGTCTATTATATTTCCCTTTGTCCCGTTGGTGGGGGGCATGGACATCAAATAACTACACATCATATGACTTTCCCTGTTCATCTTTCTCAGCACTGTGAGTAATTATACCCGATAACCCGCGACGCTTCCCGTGTATAATCAACAGAAAGAAAATGAAGATATTATTCGAGTTCATGTTATTTGGTTCTCAAAGGGTTGCTCCGCGAATGTGCTTAATACAAATTACAGCAACCTGCCAAGCCATCCTACTCCTTGGCTTGTGTGACCTTCACCCTTTCAATACTGCAACTCGTCCTCTGCACTCACGCGATTTCCCAGCAATACTAAATCAATAAATGCGGTTTGAAGACATTTTCACCTTAAAAATGTTTCATTTTTTATCACACATCATAAAAATGTCTCAAGCTGTGACGGGCCAGTGAAAATCAGGTCGCGGGCCACGGGCTGGACAGCACTGCTTTAGACCCTAATCTGCCACACTGTTCTCAATGCAGTCAAACTGTCAATGCGTGACTCTTATTGGTACACAGTGGGCCGTTAAGCATTTGATGACGTAGGATCTGTGACTATGCGCCGACGCCTTTTTGCCCCCTCCCCCCCCGGGCCCCTCTCTTTTCGACTCGCTTGGTTGATTTCACTTAATCATCCCAGTGTAATTTGATATTCTGAAACGATCTTTATACTGGTGGCAGCCTAGAAAGCTCATCTAACACCAGAATGTCAACACTCTTTATACTGGTGGCAGCCAAAAAAGCTCTTCATACAACGGATTGCTAACGATCTTTATACTGGTGGCAGCCCAGAAAGACCTATGAATTCCCTGCTACTAACGTTAGATCGGTATCAGGGCTTTTATCACGTATTATGTAAAAGGAAATCCAAGGCCTCAAAATAAAACACCAGAAGGTGTCACGCGTATCTGAATTCAATGTACTAGAGTTGTGGCACTATAGAAGTGGCGAATCCAAATCATTTTGCCAGTTGCACAAGGAAAACACCAATTGCTGTGAAGTTTGATTGATAGTTTTCTGAGGAGAAAAGGCCGGTAACCAGGACACATAAGCAATTGAAACTGGTTGGTTAATGTTATATTAGAATAAGCAACACAGTTCCAGAATTTACGCAGTTCCCTGTGTATTCATGACAACACAGTTCCAGAATTTATGCAGTTCCCTGTGTATTCATGACAACACAGTTCCATAATTTATGCAGTTTCCTGTGTATTCATGACAACACAGTTCCAGAATTTATGCAGTTTCCTGTGTATTCATTACAACACAGTTCCAGAATTTATGCAGTTCCCTGTGTATTCATGACAACACAGTTCCATAATTTATGCAGTTTCCCGTGTATTCATGACAACACAGTTCCAGAATTTATGCAGTTTCCTGTGTATTCATGACAACACAGTTCCAGAATTTATGCAGTTTCCCGTGTATTCATGACACCACAGTTCCAGAATTTATGCAGTTTCCTGTGTATTCATGACAACACAGTTCCAGAATTTATGCAGTTTCCCGTGTATTCATGACACCACAGTTCCAGAATTTATGCAGTTTCCTGTGTATTCATGACAACACAGTTCCAGAATTTATGCAGTTTCCCGTGTATTCATGACACCACAGTTCCAGAATTTATGCAGTTTCCTGTGTATTCATGACAGCACAGTTCCAGAGTTTACCCAGTTCCCTGTGTATTCATGACATAACAGTTCCAGAGTTTACACAGTTCCCCATGTATTCATGACAACACAGTTCCAGAATTTATGCAGTTCCCTGTGTATTCATTACAACACAATTATCTGTGTAATAGAAGCAGGACTGTTTTTGGTAACAAATCTGCGATTCTTTATTGAATGCTTGCTACTATTATCTGACAGAAAAGATTTCATTCGTTAGATTTTTAAAATCAACCACTGACCTCGATCTTGTAGGACTGAAAATGCTACGGAGAATGGTAAGAATGACTTTGACTTACTTAGATACATACCTCAGCGACTGCAATGAATTGAATAACCTTTGAATTTCTTTATAGAGATCCCAGATTGTAAGCTTGACTGAAAATCAAACTCTTAAAAACGAAAATGGTAAGTTTAACACTATGTTGAAGAAATAAATAAAAATAATAATTACAAAAAAAGACGTCCCAAGACGAATTTGAGCGCACCAAAAGGTCGGAAATAATTGGACATTTCTTAAAATGCTTCACGCAAAGAAAGTCTGGGCAGAAGAAGATGAGCACTCCGTGTAGCCGAAGGATTTGAATGGCATGCAGACGAAACTTAAATATATTTATTATTAAATTTTGAAAATAGTATTTTGCACAGACCCTAGACAAATCCAATTGATTCTTAGAACATTGAGACAGTCAAGACAAAAGACAAAGCCAATAGGTTCATAGAACATGGAGACAGTCAAGACATAAGAAAAATCCAATCTGTTCATAGAACATTGAGACAGTCAAGACACAAGACAAATCCAATTGGTTCATAGATTATTGAGACAGCAAAGTTACAAGACGAATCCAATCGAATCATGCACCAATATTTAATTTCACCCTTGAACCATTTCTCAACAGGGCTTTCATAAAATACTCCGTTGATCTCATAACAAAGTTTTGGGCCATGTAAGTTTCAAAAGTTGCTCTGTGTGTTATCATGCAATCCCGAGTTTTATCTCGTGTTTGAAGATCTAATGAGTAAAGCCAGTGGTTCTCAAATTGTTTCGGCTTTCATCCCCCCTCAAACCATGCAAATCTCAAACGTATTTCCTGGTCCATAGTTCGATTGATGGGCTTAGTGGACTGATAGGGCTTAGTGGACTGATAGGGCTTAGTGGACCGATAGGGCTTAGTGGACCGATAGGGCTTAGTGGACTGATAGGGCTTAGTGGACTGATAGGTCTTAGTGGACTGATAGGGCTTAGTGGACTGATAGGGCTTAGTGGAATGATAGGGCTTAGTGGAATGATAGGGCTTAGTGGACTGATAGGGCTTAGTGGACTGATAGGGCTTAGTGGACTGATAGGGCGTAGTGGACTGATAGGGCGTAGTGGACTGATAGGGCTTAGTGGACTGATAGGGCTTAGTGGACTGATAGGGCTTAGTGGACTGATAGGGCGTAGTGGACTGATAGGGCTTAGTGGACTGATAGGGCTTAGTGGACTGATAGGGCTTAGTGGACTGATAGGGCTTAGTGGACTGATAGGGCTTAGTGGACTGATAGGGCTTAGTGGACTGATAGGTTTTAGTGGACTGATAGTATTTTATCAGTGCCGAATTTAAAGGCACCGTGGAGAAGACAAAGTCGCGTTCAATGATTTTGTTGACACAGGGAATCTTAAAGTACAGCCCGTTGCCAACGTGTGTAGTGCCTGCTTATAAAAGTACAAGGAAAGAAGATCGCAGCTGAATAAATAACTAGGTATGTACTCCAGAGGCCTGCAGTTACATTATCACCCAATCGGCCAACGATCTTATGTAGGTCACATGGTTAAGAAGTGGCCAGGATGTTTTTTTTTAAATTTTTATTGGGGGTTGGGATATTTTCTTTTATTGAGGACAGAGAAATAATTTAATATTTCTTACTAGACATTGATCTGGACAACTTTCAAAAGAATTTAAATTTCATAATTTATGTCGTATAATTTAGAAGTAGGTACAGTTAAATGAAATAATTTATTACTTATTCAAATGGGCAGAAAAGTGAGTTTGAAACATACTTACTAGCTATGTGCCTCCTTCTCCGCAGATCAAAGAGTGGAATGACATTGCTAACATGACCAAGGCTTCCAGCTGAGTTGTAGCCTTGACTTTAGAATTATTTGATTAAGTGAGGGAGAGTTGCTCAATTCGTCTGCCCCACTCTCTCGTCCTTGCTCATTTGTTCTAATGGCAAGACTTAGTCAAAACGACGGGAGAACAGACCAGGATGCAGTAGATGAATAACAGTGTTTCTTGTGTCTCAATGTGCTCCTTATGCGTTCCACGTAGCAGGAGTTGTCGGAATTTTCATTGTGTCAATGTCATACCGCTCACAGGAATCCATCTCCGGGTTTCGGGTTTGAATTCAGAGTTTGCCTTCTATTTGATGAGTTGCTATTCAAGATGAACCAGGCCTATCCTCCCGGGCACATGACGGGTTTCTCAGCTAGTTATTTATATGATGTAGATATACGGTTATTTCCAATTACGTTTAACAATTGTCTACGGCGCCTCGGCCAGCTTGATGAAGACTTTTTAGAAAAAAAAAACTGACGAAATGATGGATTTCTTCCGCTCCAGATCTTATCATGGAACTTCTCTTGTCTCGTCACTCAACCGTATCAGCAATATCACACGAAAGACGCGTTAAAACCTGGCCACAACAAAAATGAAGATCGAACCAAGCTCATGTTCACCTACCAACCCTCACAATTTGACAGCCAAAGACATTCATAAAATCGTAGCATACATTTTGCTGACCCCGACACTAATAAGGTTTTCTCATCCCCTCCACTGATTGTCTTCAGACGTGACCTTCTGGTTCATAGTCACCTTCGAGGTGACCCGTCTTACATAACGATTAAACCATGCCCGAGAAGCCGATGTAGGACGTGCCCCTATACACTCCAAACAAAAAAACTTTAGCATTCCTAAAGGTACCTTTACCATCAAAGAGGGTTTCACATGCGTTAGTTGGAATGTGATATACGTGATTGTGCGCCGTAGATGTCATTCTAGTTATGTAGGCGAAACTGGGAGAAGATTGGCAGATAGGTTCACAGAACATCTTGGGGATATTGAACAAGGTAAATTTTCTCCAGTCTCTTCACACTTCAACGGAGGGCAACATAAAAGTGCATTAGATGTATCCATTACGGCACTAATTTCTTGCACTAATACACCAGAGAGAGAGAGAGAGTAAAAATTATTCAGCTTTTCGGCACCATATCTCCATATGGTCTGAATCAAATACTCTCTTACTGTTTCTCATGTTCCCTGGATTTCTTCTTTTTTCCTTATCCCCTAGGTATGTATCCCTAAATATTTTGGTCCGTTAAGATTCTCTATTCTTATTTTTCACAGTATCAATTTTTATATTCTTTCACTTCCTGTAATCCTACTTCCGGCAACAAAATGGAAGTCTCGTAAGTTTTTTACGTCTCTCTGTTACTTGTCCTACTTCTTTTCGTCTTGTTTGCTGGTGAAGGCTCTAAGCCGAAACGTTCAAATCTTTTGTCCTGTCGATTAATTCAAGTTCAGCAAACCTTCTTATATTTCACCAGCACTTGTTTCCAACTGTTCACCAGCACTTGTTTCCAACTGTTCACCAGCACTTGTTTCCAACAGTTCACCAGCACTTGTTTCCAACTTTTCACTAGCAGTTGTTTCCAACTTTTCACTAGCAATTGTTTCCAACTGTTCACCAGCAATTGTTTCCAACTGTTCACCAGCACTTGTTTCCAACTTTTCACTAGCAGTTGTTTCCAACTTTTCACTAGCAGTTGTTTCCAACTTTTCACTCGCAATTGTTTCCAACTGTTCACCAGCAATTGTTTCCAACTGTTCACCAGCACTTGTTTCCAACTGTTCACCAGCAATTGTTTCCAACTGTTCACCAGCACTTGTTTCCAACTGTTCACCAGCACTTGTTTCCAACTGTTCACCAGCACTTGTTTCCAACTGTTCACCAGCACTTGTTTCCAACTGTTCACCAGCACTTGTTTCCAACTGTTCACCAGCAATTGTTTCCAACTATTCACCAGCACTTGTTTCCAACTGTTCACCAGCACTTGTTTCCAACTTTTCACTAGCAGTTGTTTCCAACTTTTCACTAGCAGTTGTTTCCAACTTTTCACTAGCAATTGTTTCCAACTGTTCACCAGCAATTGTTTCCAACTGTTCACCAGCACTTGTTTCCAACTGTTCACCAGCAATTGTTTCCAACTGTTCACCAGCACTTGTTTCCAACTGTTCACCAGCACTTGTTTCCAACTGTTCACCAGCACTTGTTTCCAACTGTTCACCAGCACTTGTTTCCAACTGTTCACCAGCACTTGTTTCCAACTGTTCACCAGCACTTGTTTCCAACTGTTCACCAGCACTTGTTTCCAACTGTTCACCAGCACTTGTTTCCAACTGTTCACCAGCAATTGTTTCCAACTGTTCACCAGCACTTGTTTCCAACTGTTCACCAGCACTTGTTTCCAACTGTTCACCAGCACTTGTTTCCAACTGTTCACCAGCACTTGTTTCCAACTGTTCACCAGCAATTGTTTCCAACTGTTCACCAGCAATTGTTTCCAACTGTTCACCAGCACTTGTTTCCAACTGTTCACCAGCACTTGTTTCCAACTGTTCACCAGCAATTGTTTCCAACTGTTCACCAGCACTTGTTTCCAACTTTCACCAGCACTTGTTTCCAACTGTTCACCAGCACTTGTTTCTAACTGTTCACCAACAATTGTTTCCAACTGTTCACCAGCACTTGTTTCCAACTGTTCACGAGCACTTGTTTCCAACTGTTCACCAGCAATTGTTTCCAACTGTTCACCAGCAATTGTTTCCAACTTTTCACCAGCACTTGTTTCCAACAGTTCACCAGCAATTGTTTCCAACTGTTCACCAGCAATTGTTTCCAACTGTTCACCAGCACTTGTTTCCAACTGTTCACCAGCACTTGTTTCCAACTTTTCACCAGCACTTGTTTCCAACTGTTCACCAGCAATTGTTTCCAACTGTTCACCAGCACTTGTTTCCAACTGTTCACCAGCACTTGTTTCCAACTGTTCATCAGCAATTGTTTCCAACTGTTCACCAGCACTTGTTTCCAACTGTTCACCAGCACTTGTTTCCAACTGTTCACCAGCAATTGTTTCCAACTGTTCACCAGCAATTGTTTCCAACTGTTCACCAGCACTTGTTTCCAACTGTTCACCAGCACTTGTTTCCAACTGTTCACCAGCACTTGTTTCCAACTGTTCACCAGCAATTGTTTCCAACTTTTCACCAGCACTTGTTTTCAACTGTTCACCAGCAATTGTTGCCAACTTTTCACCAGCAGCTGTTTCCAACTGTTCACTAGCAATTCTTTCCAACTTTTCACCAGCAGCTGTTTCCAACTTTTCACCAGCAATTATTTCCAACTTTTCACCAGCTTAGCTTCACTTTGGTCCAGGTTTAATGAGAGGCTTGTGTCACACGACCTAAGTCTAATGACATGGTGAAATATCGGCATGTAGGGGGCTATCTGTATATTCAACCGGGCGCTGGTAGAGGTTAGCTGTTGGCGGAGTAGGTTGTGGCGTACATCCTGTAGTGTTGTGCCGTGACACTGTTTGGTGGTCATATTGCAGATGGGGGGAGTTGGTGTTCAATGTTGTTTAGGTCGGATTAAATGCGAGTTAAGTTGAATCCCACTGGGGTGAAAGTTAAGATGAAATTGACCTGTGCTCATAAAAAATGCCATTAGAAAAATACAAAAATAAAACAAATAAACAACAAAACAAACACATAAATAAACAGACAATGACACTTAAACAGATTTGTGTATCCTCACCATTCCCTATTTTCAAAAGATAGGTAAAATATACAGTAAATTTAAAGCTATGGCATTTAATGTATCTACCGAAATTACTTGACGTGACCGAGACGAAATTTGTCCTACTTGGATTCTCTCTTCTTTTGAAACACTGATTAAAAAATGGTGACGTTTTAATACGCAACCTCATTAAATAAGAAAGTTGAGACGTCAAGGGAATGCTAGTCCAAGACCTGTCAAAATTTAGCATATTGTAAGATGGTGTGATCAAATCCCCTGTAACATATTGTAAGATGGCATGATCAAATCACTTGTAGCATATTGTAAGATGGCGTGATCAAATCACCTGTAGCATATGGTAAGATGGCATGATCAAATCACTTGTAGCATATTGTAAGATGGCGTGATCAAATCACCTGTAGCATATGGTAAGATGGCATGATCAAATCACTTGTAGCATATTGTTAGCTGGCGTGATCAAATCACCTGTAGCATATTGTAAGGGGGCGTGATCACATCACCTGTAGCATATTGTAAGATGGCGTGATCAAATCACTTGTAGCATATTGTAAGATCGCGGGATCAAATCACCTGTAGCATATTGTAAGATCGCGGGATCAAATCACCTGTAGCATATTGTAAGATAGCGGGATCAAATCACCTGTAACATATTGTAAGATGGCAGGATCAAATTAGCTGTAGCTTATTTTAAGATTGTGGGATCAAAACAACAAAGCAAAGACGAATCGGCTACATACACATTAGGATTATTCAGCCGGGAACTCCGTTCGAATGAAAAGCCCAGACTCTGTTCCACAGTATCGATGCTCACCCAAGAACCTAACAGCTATTCTGACCAGGCAGTGATTCACCGAATGCTTTGCTATGGACCAATTCGAGGGACCAACAAGAACTCAGAGACTTTTAAGACTGAAAACAATACGTGCAATACACTGAAACCATATTTCCATTTATTTAGATCAATAAAAGCATCTTATTTAATCTGATTTTGTCATATATTGAAACTAAAGCTGCTCTTGGAGATAGAAAGCCTGCATATTTTATTCCTCGAAACATTATCGCGTCAGAAATGGCGCACATTTAAAAAAAAAAAAATTGAGATAATATATACGTATTTTTCAGAGCAGTAAATACCCGTGTACACAAGTGCTAACGTCCCCTGCACACAAGTTGAACTCGTCGTACTCCTCAATGCTCAAACTAGGATGTTCTTTTCGGGTCATCGGTGTTGGGGCAAAAGGGAAAAAAAAATAGATCTTTCAATCTATCAAAGCGGAGCATTGCTCCCTAGGCAGGCCCGCAGGGGGGGCAGGGGGGAGGGGGCAAATGCCCAGGGGCCCGGCGAGTTTTAGGGGCCCGGCCCGGGCCCGCAACCAACTTGTGAAAATATTATGATCAGCTATAAAAAATGTATGACTTATGCTTTTGTAAATATAACTTAACTAAACTTAATTACAATCAGATTAAACTTCAAGCATCTGAATCATTCCGTACTTATTTACAATTTTATCATTTTTATGCAATAGGCTTTGTCATTTCTCAGACCGGAAAACGTAAAAGCGTACTATTTTTAGAAGGTCGGCGGACAAATATTGCTTAAAACATGGCAGCTTAGAGTGTGTTTCAGCATATCGTTCGGACGATCCTTGTATCTAGAGTTGCTGTTATATATGCCGTTTGCGCAATGAAGTCCCATTTCAGAAAATAGAAGTAAAAAAAAATGTGTAAAATATTTCGTAAAATAGAGTTGTAAACACGTTTCAGGGACACTTCGCTACATAGTAATATTGAACAGTGTTGACATTTTGTCCGCGCTGAGTACCCGGATGATCAGTAATGGTGACATCAGTTTTATTTATAGATTTCCGCCATTAAATGACAAGCCCTATTCCGTCCATCCGTCGTCTGAGTACTTTCTTCTGCTGAAATAAACATCAATTTTTGAACACGAGTCCCACGTGACACGACCAGAGAGATCGGGCTTGTTAAATTCGGCCCGTGCCGGTCTCTATTTTGAACACGCCCACACGATCTGTCAAAATTTTTAAAAATTCTCATAAAGCCTAAAGATAGTTTTAGAGGCTCAGACCTCGGGGGGCCCGTGACAGCCCTGCCTAGGGGCCCGAAATTTCTGTCGACGGGCCTGTCCCTAGGCTCTCATAGACATTAAAATATCACACTATTAAATTATAATCATTAAATGAGCTCATTTGACATATTCTAAAGCTGATATGTTGACATCTAAAACTAATATGCTGACATCTAAAGCTGATATTCTTACATATAAAGCTGCTTTGTGACATCAAAAGCTGAGATGTTGACAATCTAAAAATGATATGTTGCCATCTAAAGCTAATATGTGACATATTTTAAAGCTGATACTTTGAAATTGAAATATTCTAGAGGTGATATACTGAGATACTCTAAAGCTGATATGTTGAGATATTCTAAAGCTGATATGTTGAGATATTCTAAAGCTGATATATGGAGATATTCTAAAGCTGAGATGTTTTCATCTAAAGCTGATATGTTGAAGTATTCTAAAGTTGATATGTAGAGATATTCTAAAGCTGATATGTTGGCATCTGAAGCTGATATGTTGACATATTCTACAACTGATATGTTGAGATATTCTGAAGCTAGATATCTCTTAACGCCTACGCCTCTGGTTGAGACCTATTCATAAAAACATAGTCAGACGCAAGAAATCATACGAAAGACCAACACTTGTATTTGCATACAGCTCTAAAAAAGGTTCATGTTGAAAAAAGACTTGGTCGCGGTGTGCCGTCAAAGATGGGGCCATAAAGCAAACACAAGCGAGGACGTTTGCTCAGTTGTATTTGCGCCCCAATGTCTCTTTCGTTCAGCTGACTATCACACAGATAGTGGTATAGCTATAAAAACACAGCTAGTGGTATAGCTATAAAAACACAGCTAGTTGTATAGCTATAAAAGTCTGCTGCAATGGATCACATCCAAGAGCAGTGATCGTTGCATACATCTTTTATTTAAAACTTTGTTGTTCCTTAATGTTTAACTTTAAGATCCATCAAATAGGTGTTATATTTAACCATAAACATTTCCATCCATCTTCGTCAAATTAAAGACTTTAGCATAGCTTTTTTTTTTCAAAATTGGGGTGCTCGCACCCCCAGTGGGATTGAGATGAGATTTGAAGGGGTGCAAGGAAATGTTATTTAGAAAATGGGGAGTCTAAGGTGCTATAAATGTTGATGAATACTTTTTAAATAATTTCTTCAACAATATATTTTACACTTTTACAGTTCTCTTAAGTAAGTCGGTAAATAAATTGCAATCCAATTTTTGCGCCAAATTAAAATTACATTGTTGCCATTGTACGGTTGTCACACAATTCATAAGGGGCTGTGACACAATTCATAAGGGGCTGTGACACAATTCATAAGGGGATGTGACACAATTCATAAGGGGCTGTGACACAATTCATAAGGGGCTGCGACACAATTCATAAGGGGCTGTGACACAATTCATAAGGGGCTGTGACACAATTCATAAGGGGCTGTGACACAATTCATAAGGGGCTGTGACACAATTCATAAGGGGCACACTGTGTTAAGTATTCCCGATGTGACACAATTCATAAGGGGCTGCGACACAATTAATAAGGGGCTGTGACACGATTCATAAGGGGCTGTGTCACAATTCATAAGGGGCTGTGACACAATTCATAAGGGGCTGTGATACAATTCATAAGGGGCTGTGACACAATTCATAAGGGGTTGTGACACAATTCATAAGGGGCTGCGACACAATTCATAAGGGGCTGTGACACAATTCATAAGTGGTTGTGACACAATTCATAAGGCGCTGTGACACAATTCATAAGGGGCTGTGACACAATTCATAAGAGGCTGTGACACAATTCATAAGGGGTTGTGACACAATTCATAACGGGCTGTGACACAATTCATAAGGGGCTGTGACACAATTCATAAGGGGTTGTGACACAATGCATAAGGGGCTGTGACACAATTCATAAGGGGCTGTGACACAATTTATAAGGGGCTGTGACACAATTCATAAGGGGCTGTGACACAATTCATAAGGGGCTGTGACACAATTCATAAGAGGCTGTGACACAATTCATAGTGGTTTTTGACACAATTCATAAGGGGCTGTGACACAATTCATAAGGGGCTGTGACACAATTCATAAGGGGTTGTGACACAATTCATAAGGGTCTGTGACACAATTCATAAGGGGCTGTGACACAATTCATAAGGGGCTGTGATCCTGACTTATTCAAAAAAAACAATTTGTTAATGTGTAGGTACTAAACTTAGGGGTGCAAAACAGTTGAGAAGGTTTAGCCGGAGTCAGCGTAGATCATTGAATCAAATGTTGATAGTGACCGACACTTGGTAACTGCCAAACTATTGATATAGCTAAACTCTTCCCAGTGTCCAACACACGACAGTGCCGCAAACATCATGTCTTCCATCACTACGAATTCGGTGGCAAAAAGTCTGACACTCTTCTCTTGTATTCAAAAGATTAGCTGTAAACATGGATTGTAACTAGCTACTTTCCCAGGTGTTACAGTGCTATGTAAGCGGACGACAGAGTGTTGGATTGGTCTGTCAAGTATTGAAGCTATCTGTCGTCTTTCAGTCCAGTAAATTTGCTCTAAACGAAGAAAGATTTAATATTTCTTCCCCTACATTGATTCTTTAACATATATCACACTATTTTCTTATCATATTATGCTGCACTATTTACAGACTTTCTAAAACATACATTGTAAGGTCGAGAACAGCGTTGGAATGTTTCTGGTTATATTACAGCTTTCCGTACGGTTGTCAAAAAGTACTACATTATATAAATTTAGCTTGACACCTGAATAGCCTGGTATAATCAAGCTACTAGATCACGTGATCCTAGCCAATGGGACGTCACTTCCAATGAGGTTGCGAAGTGATTTCTGTGGGCTCACCACTAAAACAGTATGATTGATGTATTAAAAATTGAACTATCTCCTTGTACGCACCAGTCTTTGCGCATTTTATGAATGTTTGACAATTTCTAGAGAAGTGCGGCCCCAATTATCAGTGAATTAATTTGTTCAACTTTTTCTCCTTGTGTCAGCCCCCCCCCCCCCCCCACCCAAAAAAAAAAATAAATAAAATAAATAATAACAATCTAGAAATATTTAAATCAATTAATACAACAAAGTAGGCCTATTAATTGGACCTATTCAAGATGTAATGGGATTAAATGTTTCTTGGTAAGACCAGGACTGCGAGTTCAGATTAAAACAAAATAATTTGACTATTAATAACACGAGGATAGCAACAATGTCTGTTTTGAGCTTTGTCATGAATACAGCTCAGTTTGGCGATGTACAATTTTCTATTCCGGCTGCTCAGTTTATTTTGCTTTTAAGTACATTCAGAAAACGTAGTCCTGCAGACCATTCCATCATTGGGTATATACATAATATATGCTTTGGGAGGGGTAGAATTATTTGTTTTCATAAATTAAACATAGTTGAAAAGGATATAACACAGCAAGATAGGAATTTAAGTTTTAGACCAGGAATAAGAGTCCTAGAATGTTCGACTACTTCGCCTACATTAACATGCTTCCCGAACATTCGTACGTCTCAAAATTAACTGCTGTTTTTAGAAATTGAATATTTTAAATATTTCATCGCATAAAACTCATAATTCTCTATGAACTATAATGCGATTTTCCAAGTAAAAAAAAATATGTTAAGAATTTTTAAAGGGAACTTCCGGAATGTAATTACATATTTGGAAATGCAATGCGTTGTTCCAGAGATTGTCTATCTTGCTCAGAAATTAGTTTTGAAAATTTAAGATTATATCAAGTTCAGGTAGAAGCTAAGTAAGTCCCAAATAACCCAAGACGTCTTTTCTTTTCGGCAAACAGGTTCAAGTTCGTCATTGCAGGAGTGGCATCTCTGCTGGTTGCCACTGGCGTCATCTTGGCAGTGGTGTATGGAACAAGACAGAACAACACACCGAAGAGAGCGGATCTGGTTGGTTACAGGAAAGCAGCAGTGGCGGCCGATACATCTGTGTGTTCAACTGTCGGAAAGTAAGCCTTGTGGACAGGGGATATCAAAATTTAAATTGATAGATTGAAGCTGGTGGTTGGGAGATAATTTTTTTGTTATTTTTAGCATTTAATGAGAAAGTAGAAATATGTGAATGGAAGATTATATATGTATGAGAAAGCTTCATCCATATTGAATAAAAATGCATCGCTTTGTTTGTTTGTTTTTTAAAGAAATTTTTATTATTTTAATTTAGACTTTTGTATTTTTGTTATTCTTACAACCATTTTTATAGCTTATATTAAAAAGCTTGATTAACAAGACGCGTGTCCTGTAAGGAATGGCATTCAAGTTCCTATTGTTGTGGGCGAAACAAATAATTACATTGTTATTTGTGAGTTATTTGGGGGGGGGGGGATATGCTGGATGAGTTACAACATTTTATTTTGTTATACTGGGACTGGACGACTCCTGATTAAATAAGCATTTCTCGTTTTTCCCAAAATACCAATACCTTAAACATTTTGAAATGATTATTTTTCTTTGTAAGCATGCGACCTACTCTAAACCTTTCTGGGGGGAACAAATAATTTCATTGTTATTTGTGAGTTTTTTGGGGGGGGGGGGATATGCTGGATGAGTTACAACATTTTATTTTGTTATACTGGGACTGGACGACTCCTGATTAAATAAGCATTTCTCGTTTTTCACAAAATACCAATACCTTAAACATTTTGAAATGATTATTTTTCTTTGTAAGCATGCGACCTACTCTAAACCTTTCAACAGAGAAATCCTTCTTCAGGGTGGAAATGCAGTTGATTCTGCAATCGCTGCTCTCCTGTGTTCCGGTCTCACCAGTCCACAGTCTATGGGCATAGGAGGGGGGTTCTTCATGACCATATATAACAGGTGAGACCTTTCTTTCTATGGGCATGGGAGGGGGGTTCTTCATGACCATATATAACAGGTGAGACCTTTCTTTCTATGGGCATGGGAGGGGGGTTCTTCATTAACATAATATAACAGGAGAGACCTTTCTTTTTATGGATATAAAAGGGGGGTTTTTCATAACAATATATAACAGGTGAGACCTTTCTTTCTATGGACATGGGAGGGCGTTCTTCATGACCATACATAACAGGTGAGACCTTTCTTTCTATGGGCATGTTAGGGGTTCTTCATGACAATATATAACAGGTGAGACCTTTCTTTCTATGGACATGGGAGGGGGGTTCTTCATGACCATATATAACAGGTGAGACCTTTCTTTCTATGGGCATGGGAGGGGGGTTCTTCATGACCATATATAACAGGTAAGACCTTTCTTTTTATGGATATAAGAGGGGGATTTTTCATAACAATATATAACAGGTGAGACCTTTCTTTATATTGGTATAGGAGGGGGATTCTTCATGACAATATATAACAAATGTTTTGTACAAACAGAAATTGGCAATCCAGACAAATTGGTGCTGAAATAAATAGTCACGTTTTGTCACCAAGTTTATTACTTTGAAACACTCCCTACCCCCCCCCCCCCCCCCCAAAAAAAAAAAAACAAAGAATATATGTTCAACATCCCCTTTATTTACTTCGAAGGATACAATACATTTGAGTTCAGAGTATTCTCTCTTGTTTTTCCTGAAATATAGGCTTCCTGTATTTTGCCATCATCCATGACATAAATATACTCAACTGTTGCTAATGATGATGCATTTCAGGTGCAATGCTTTCCAAATCTTATAGATGTTTTAGTTTGTCAGTTTACAATTTTAAATAGAAAATCAAAGGAAAATATCAGCTAGAAAAGTTGCTTGGGTATGTTTGCAAATTGAAACATGAACAAGGAAAAAAGAAATTGGTCAATTCAGAAGTGAAGGTCTACTGGTCATTGTTACGTCATATTAAATTAAATCAATGAAGAATACAAACTTTAGGGAGGAAGGGGGGCGGGGGATGGGTAAGGTTGTATGGAAGCAGTCTCTATTCTCTGATTAATTATTAGTAAATATGTTTTTTGTTCTTTATTTGAAGTTTTATAATAATTTGACATTAAATAATCTTGGTTTCTGGAGCAACATCTTGTTATTGCATCGACATAAATGGTTAAGGTATAAATTGAATGCCTTTATTGGTTTATAATGGTAATTTATCTCTCATCATTTTTTACACTAACTTTACTGAGCATAAAATTGTCAAATCATCAAGCATTATTTACTTATGTCCCGATGGAAGTAGGCTGACTAGAAGCAACTATTTCATTAAGTTTTTAATCTCAGTTTTTTCAACGGTTATAATTTTTTTTCCCCAGAACAACTGGTATGAAAACAATCATAGATGCCAGGGAGACAGCACCAGAACACGCAACACGTGATATGTTTGTAGATAAACCTGGAGCTTCCGCTGTTGGTAGGTCATGACACTGATATGTTTGAGGGCTCAGAGTATAGGAAAAGTTGTTGAGCCATAAGCTTGCTTTTAATGTTTCAATTCCATTGTACAATTACATTACATTGCAAATATTTTTATTTTGAAAATTAAGAACTTAAACAGGAGACAAAGAAGATTTGGTGTCATTTAAAAAAAAAAAAAAACTCAACTTATGATTTTTGAAGAAAATGTTTCTTCAACCAAATTACAGCCAAAAAGACCAGCTGCTCCATGACAGGTTGCCTAATATCCATGGCCATGATTCCGCTTTTAGAGTTTATAAGCTTTTAACTGCTATGTTGGTTATATTTTGTTGTAAAATAGAATAATTAACATCATATGATTTTTAAATTGTTGTTAAATAATAAATTATAAATAACTAAAAATATATATGTATTAGATTAATTTTATTTTATTTTCTTGCAGGTAACTTGAGTATAGCAGTTCCTGCTGAAATAAAAGGCTATTGGGCTGCCCATCAGAAATATGGTCGTCTCCCATGGAAGGAACTATTTCAACCTGCCATCAAAATGGCTGCTGAGGGATTTGTTGTTCCTATAGGACTTCATAAAGCAATAATAGATGCCAAGCAGTTGTTAGAAACAGAACCAAGTCTAAAGTAAGCTTTATGAACTTATTATCTTGATAAAGCTTCAAGACATGAAGAGGAACAAATTTGTGGGGTTAGAGGGTGGTCAGTAGTAATCACTTTCCTTGTGATACTTTCCTTGTCCAGTAAGTTATCCATAAATAAATAATAAATTTGAAAAAAAAATTAAGATTAAAAATTCTTTTTTGTGCACAGAAACAAAGAAGAAACAAAAATAAATGTTACCTAAAATTTAAAAAGGATAATGATAATATAAGAAAATCCTTGAATTAAGGTCACATTATTGGACTTATTTTTATTTTTTTCCCTTTTATTTTTAATTTTTTTTTAAAATTTTTAATCCTCTTCATTAACGTTTGCTTTAAATTTTTTTATCAGAGTAGTTTTTATGAACAACAAAACAGGTGAGGTCTTTAAGCTAGGTGAAAAAATGACGAGACCTCAGCTAGCAGATACGATGAGAGTAATCGCTAATGAAGGAGTGAATGCATTCTATAATGGTTCCCTTACAGATAAAATATTGCAAGACTTGAAAGACATTGGTTAGTAATGATAAGCATCAGATAGGAGAGCTTACATAGATAACAAATATTTAGTATTAGTTAAAAAGTTGAAAGTTAGGCTAAAAGTAGTTGTTCATATAAATATTTATTTAATGTGAATTAAGTAATTATTATAAATCACAAATATTTTTACTACTGTTAGTTGCTATGTTAGTTTTTGTTGTATTTGAAATACATCAGTACATAAAAGTAGTTTATCAATTTTGCTCATTAAAGGAAACTTATTTTTATAAGTTAATGATCAGAAATTTAACCACACAGTTTTGAATTTTCTTTTTATAATATTTAAATTGTAGTGTTAACATCTAAAAGAAGAAAAAAAACAAAAATATATTTTTAAATAACTTATATTTGTTTATTTCAAATATTACAAATACATGTTTTAAATGAATTATTTTGTTTCTTGTATAAGACAGAATAAACAAAGCAAACTTTTCTATTCAACTCTATACCAGGTTCAATCATTACCCGTAATGATCTCATCAACTATCAGCCTTTAGAGAAGAAACCTATTGAAATAACTCTCACTGGTGGACAAACAGTCATTTCCCCCCCTGCCCCTAGTGGTGGTGTTGTGTTATCCTTCATTTTAAATGTGTTAGATGGTGAGTTTATATATACAGGCAATATATGTTTAGTTATGTTTGCTACTGCTTAAAATGGGAGATGGTGAGTTTATATATACAGGCAATATGTGTTTAGTTATGTTTGCTACTGCTTAATATGTTAGATGCTGAGTTTATTATGTACAGGCAATTATATGTTAGCTTTGTATACTTCTTAAAAATGGGAGATTTTCAAAAAGAAACATTTTTATGCAAAGTAACGAAACGTTTATTTATTTGTAACAACTTAAGGTCTAAAATCTACTTGGGCTTAACTATTTGTAAAAAATTAGAGCCAATAATCTAGTTAGCTCAACATTTTGGGGTTAAAATAATAATTTAGCCTATATAAACCATGTATTCTTTACCACTCTCTAACTCTTTTACTATTCTTTTTGATTTGATTACCTGTTAAATTTAATTTTCATTTTTTGCATATTGCTTAAGTAAAATAGATATATGAAGCAAAATTAACTTTTAAATTCCTTTCGTTTACTAAGTAAAAATAAATATTTTGCTTACTGCACCTTCTTTTAACCTTCAAGGCTACTACTTCACCCCAAATCACATCTCCACTGAGAAAGCAAAGACTTTAACTTATCACAGATTCATTGAGACTTTGAAATTTGCGTATGCCAAGAGGACTGGTTTAGGAGACGACAGATTTATTAATATTACTGAGGTACACAATTTTTATTGTTTAACGCACACTGCTGGAATATTGTTGTTGACATTGAAACCCAATGTGTCGCTTGCAGTAAGTTCTTTTAGATAAGTTAATACAAGGTATATTTTATATAGGATTAAGTTTATAAGTTACTCTGGGGTATCAATCTGCATTGGCAAATAAATTGGGAGAGTTTGGGGTGGATATTATGGTAATAAAGAAAGGGATGTATGTGAAGTAGCTGTGTGCTTGGGTTAAAAACAGCTGGTTGTGCTAGTATATAAACCTCCTTTATTAGCTCTCAATCAAAGCTATCCTTTCTGCTCATTAGACTGCAGTGTGTTTGCCTTTGTATGTTGTAACTCATTGCTGCCACTTCATATTGAATACAAGTTTTCATTTTGTTTAAAGATTATTTTTTTCCCAGCGACATGTAGGAAATTTTTGGATAACATTTCCTCATGTGAAATGACTATATATCCTATTTCAACGGATATGCTACTACTGAGAAACATTCCTTTTCATTCCTTTGAATTAAGTCTTTTAAATTACTTTTCTTTGTCAGCTTATACGAAATTTGACATCTAAAGACTATGCTGATGCTATACGTCAACAAATATCAGACAATACAACACATGACTACCTGTTCTATGGTCCAACATTCTATTCCCAAAACACCACCAGCACATCCCACCTGTCAGTGCTTGACCAGGACGGCAGTGCTGTTTCAGTGACGAGTACCATCAATGCCAGGTTTAGTTTTTTTAGTTGAATTTTGTATTTGAAAAAAAACTTTGTGAATGGCTGTGAATAAATAATTAAAAGTGGAGCAAGATTTTCTGTTTTACTCATACATTATTGAAACTTTTAAAAAAATTAATAACTTCCATATCACTTACCCCAATGGTTCCCAAACCTTTTGACTCACGGAGCCCCTTTTTTAGTTTTAGAATGAACTGCTGTATGTGAGCCCCTCATACCAACCCTGTGTCTGGCAAGTTTCATTCAATTTGTATTCATTTTATTTCTTGAAGCAGCCGTGGAGCTCCTGATAAGTTGGGAACCACTAAGCTACACTTATAATTCTTTGATCATTAACAAAATTATACATGTCATCATATCTCAGGTTTGGCTCTCAGCGACGTGGTATGAGAACGGGTATTATCTTTAATGATGAGATGGATGACTTCAGTACTCCAAACATGACCAATGCATGGGGGATTTACCCATCTCCGGCCAACTTCATTGACCCAGGCAAGCGTCCACTTTCATCTATGTGTCCCGCCATTTTCATTGACCGCAATGGAGATGTCTCGAAGGTTTTAGGAGCCGCTGGGGGATCGAAGATTACAACTGCTACGGCATGGGTCAGTTATTTAGTTAACCTGAAGTCAGTTAATGTTTAAGTAACTTTACCTGTTCAGAGTAAATATAAGTTATTGATATTATAGTTTATATCAAGTGACCCAGCCAAGATGATTTGTTTAATATTGCATTTACTTTTAATGTGTTTGAGGATAGAAACCATATTTAATTCTCTATGAGCATTTTTATAAAATTTTCTTTGTACTGCAGATTTGAAAAAAAACAACTAAAAATTTATATCATTTAAGTGCAGCACACTCACTTCTTTCTTTTCTTGATTTTTATTGTACTATATAACAAATATAAATATAGCAATAACAAATTAGGCAATACAAATTACAACAATATAAAGCTTACAAAGGAAAACATAAAAATAAAACACTATTTATCTATTCTTTCAAGACCTTCAGTTCTTTTTGCAAAATATTTGGAAATATGAATTTAAAAAGAAAATAATCTTGGAAGAGAAGTTTAACAACACTATGCACTATTTGACTATTTGCACTATTTTCCTTTTAGCACTATTTGTTTCTCAATACGTACAAACTTTTATGACATTTACTTTTTGCAGTAATTGCACTCATTTGGGTTTGGTTTGTTTTGATTCCCTTTGACAGGTGGCAACACATGTACTCTGGCTAGGGGAGGGTATTGAGAGTGCAATTAATATGCCTCGTTTGCACCACCAGTTGCTTCCACCTTACATTGAATATGAACCAGATTTTGATACTGTAAGTAAAAAACCTTGGTTCTTTTTTTATATTCAAACAAAAAAATGTTATCAATAAGATTGCAGAAGAAGTGTTTTTTAAAAATTCCATTGATATTGACAATATTACTGAAGTTTAGTTTTCTCTATTTAGAAATGAGATCTTTTTGAGTCACCTGGTGTCGCCTCTGAGTGTAGTAAATTTGCTTATTCATATTATATTATTATAATAAATTATATCATTTTATCATATACTTCCAGTGTTTCCCCACACTCAGACTTTTTTCAGAACCCCGCACCAACTTGTTTTTCTCTTCACATGAAGTGAACTGTCTAATTCTTAACCAGGTCTTACAGAATACCTTATAGCATTTTTTTGTAAATTAGTTCCATCATTTTTAAGAACTTCAGGATGTATGTAAAAAGAAGAGAAATTCTGTGCAGCCCCCCCCCCCCCACCTCCCTCCCCCCTTTATAGTACCCCCACTGATTACTTTTGATAAAATACTGTCTAATTCTTAACCAGGTTTTAAAAAATACCTTATAGCATTTTTTTGTAAATTAGTTCCATCATTTTTAAGAACTTCAGGATGTATGTAAAAAGAAGAGAAATTCTGTGCAGCCCCCCCCCCCCACCTCCCTCCCCTCTTTATAGTAGCCCCACTGATTACTTTTGATAGAATGCATTAATGGGCAATTTATACGTATTATTAATGTGTTCTTATTCTTTTGTTTTGCTCTGTTTACAGACCGTATTAAATAACCTAAAAAACCTAGGCCATAACATCAGCCTAGTTCCAGTGGGCAAGTCTATTATTCAGGGAATTGATGTCAAGAATGGCCTCATATTTGCAAACAGCGACTATCGGAAAGGAGGCACGCCGGATGGGTTTTAAAAGGGACATGGAACTTGTCATCTTTCTTTTGCCAGATTTTCCTGCAGCTTTGTGATAAAAATTGAGATTTTGTAAATATTACATGTCTGCCACTGGATGATACTAATTTTGATTTAAAGCACAGGAAAAACTCAGAACATATAGTTCAAAGTGTATAAATAAAGGAATAGAGTTAGTTCAGATTTGATTATAAGTCATCAAATAAGACAAGTGATGAAAACAAAAGAACATAACTCCACTGATTCTTAACAAGGAATTGCTAATTTATCATTCCACTGAATACCATTCTATGATTTGTGGGAAGATTCTGTGCTGAATACCATCCTTTGATTCATGGGAAGATTCTGTGTTTTTTTTAAAACATGAAAAAAAAATGAAATATTTATTTTTCTTATTGATAAATCAGATTTCATAAGATTCTCAAATCAAGTACAGCAATATTAAAATTGCTCTGCTTTTTTTTAAACATAATCTCTTGATGGCTATAGATTTTATTCATTGGTCTCAAATTTTATTAAAAATATTTTAGTTTACTAGTGGTTAGAATCAGAGCTGTTAGTGACTTTTGGAGGTTCTATGTTACTCTTTGATTTTAATCCCCTGGCTACCTGGCATGACAGAAATATTTATTCAATGTTCATTAAAACCTCCTAATTAATGACATAAAATCTTTATTTTATCTTGACATATTTCATGCTCAAGTATCAATAAAATGAAAGGAAAATTCACTGTGATACAATTTATAAGAGAGATAAAACAACTTAAATTTCATGAAATATATGTTAAAAAATTCAATCAAGCCCAAATTCTGTTCCAAACTGTTGTGTTAGGAACTTAGGTTTATTAACAAAACAACAAAAGAGATTCTAAGGACACTCTGACATTCTTCCCTTTCCCTCAATGCACTAACAATTTTTTTACAAATTTAAGACACAATTATTTTGATTGCATTTTACCCTAGTTCCAGATCATGTCAGATTGATGATCAAAAATTACTTGCAAGCCACTGGTTTAAATGAGCTCTGTGTAAAATCTTTGCTTCCTTTTGTGTTAAATTTATTTGATGATGTTTATTATCATGTAGTTTACATAAATTTAATGGCATAAATGAATAGTTTTCTGGCTAAAAAGATCTCATTTTACATGAGCATTGTTGTTATTCCAGAAGTAGACCTACAAGTTACAATAATCTCATGTCAACATTGATAGCAACTCTTAGAGGAACATGTATAACAACATTTAACCTCATGATCATAATTGTTACAATCATAATTATTAACATCATAATTGTTACGATCATAATTGTTACGATCATAATTGTTATGATCATAATTATTAACATCATAATTGTTACGATCATAATTGTTACGATCATATGTTACATTGATGCCTGTAAAAACTTCATCTCTCATTGTTCAGTGGTATCATGAAAAATGAAATCCAGACTAAATTTATTCCCCAATGTCTTTTAATCTTCTTTACCAACTCAAGAAAATATAAATATGTATATATTTATAATTTGTATGTACATGAATGATGCACCTAAATTATTTTTTCATATTTTCATATACATAGATTTTTTAATTTTTTTATAGAGAGGGGCTGGGGAGTGAAGTAAATTTTGGTAGGTCTTAAGCCAGCGGTTCTCAACCTGTGGGTCGCGAGCCCTTTGGGGGACGTACTACCCTTTAACAGGGGTCGCCTAACACTATCTGAAAACACACATACTCCACAGTTATAAAGTATCAACGAAAATAATTTTGTAGTTGGGGGTCGCCACAACGTGAGGAAATGTATTGAAGGGTCGCGGGTTTATAAAGGTTGAGAACCACTGTCTTAAGCTTAAGCAGCTCTTTTTTTCCATATTGTTCTCGGTCATCTTCTCTCACTATCTGTTGTATGTGCTCACATTCTCTGTGATCTTCTCTCATTATCTCTTATATGTTCTCACTTACTACATACAGAAAAGAAAGGGTTCATTGTTAAAAGAAGTATCAATCATTTATTTCATATTGACTTTTGATAATACTTGAAATAAAACAGATTTGAGGATAATCAGTAGGCCTACCAGGCAATCCTTAAATCTTACCAGCATTACATAAATTGTGTTTGGTGTTCAACTACTTTTGACTACACTTGACTTTATCTGATAAGGTCACAAGTTCCCGACTTCTAATTGTATAAAGAAGGAAAATCACCGGTGACCCCAAATCATGTATTTTAAAAAATTATATTACGCTAAAATAAATACATCAAAAAGTTGATTTTTCCAATGGACATGAGGTAAAAATTCAATATAAACAACCCAAATCTATAATTAGACACCAGCTAACTTGTCGTAGGATCAACACAATCTGTTGTCTATGCCAAAAAGTGAAATGGGTGTTCTCATTTCTACCTGATAGTCCCACCAATAGTTGGGGATCTTTTTTTCACGTGACTATTTAAGACAAAAGAATGCTGGTTTTAAAAATTGAACATAACTTTAAGCTCAGCCATTCTCAATGTTTTTTTTGTGTTACACAAAATTTCCCACAAGGCAACAGCTGAAAGGATAAAGATGCTCTTAAAGAATTCGAGTCTGTCATTGACTATCATAATAAAATCAAGCTTATGAAAATAAAATTACAAATTTTAATTTCTTCTTCTTCTTCTTCTTCTATATCTTAAGGGCCTACGATCAATTTATTGATCATTTTGGCTCCTATGCATGTGGATGGGATTTGCAATGTTTCTGTTACTGGTGGTGATGAGGAAATTATCCACTAGGGGTTTGAAGGCTTGAGGCAATAGACACAAATGTGTCTAGTGTTGTCGCCTCAACTGTTCCTTTTGAAAGATGGTTCCAGTCCCTGATTGTCTTGGGCAGGAATGAGCAGCTCCTATACTGGCTTCTTGCTGGTATGAGCCTGAATTGCCTGTCATTCCGATCTTCGTCATTTCCATCAGTCAGCTAAACATCATCACTGACACAGGAATCAGATTTAAAAAAAGATTCATCTTTATCGGCCGATGTTTGAGCATCAATAATTTGCAATACAAGATCGTTTGTATACAAAGTTGACAACCTACGTGGTCTAGCGACAGTTGATATTCGTTGTATATGCAGGGCCATTGCATTTTTTGCAAACGATTCAACATAAATAAAAAAAAAAATGTCATGTCCAAAAACACATGTTAAATTCAATTTCAAATTGTATTGCACCACCCACGGCAGTCGAGGGATGAAAATCATTTGAAAGTTTGTAGATTTTTAAAATAAAAAAAATTGTTTGCATTAATTACAGTTTAATTGTTTATTTTACCTTTTTATTTTTTAAAAATCTGTAGGCCTACCTAGTTTGGCTTTTTAAAAATCTGTAGGACTATTTGGCTTTCAAAAAAATGTAGGCCTACCTGGTTTGGCTTTTTAAAAATCTGTAGGCCTACCTGGTTTGGCTTTTTAAAAATCTGTAGGCCTACCTGGTTTGGCTTTTTAAAAATCTGTAGGCCTACCTGGTTTGGCTTTTTAAAAATCTGTAGGCCTACCTAGGTTGGCTTTTTAAAAATCTGTAGGCCTACCTAGTTTGGCTTTTTAAAAATAATAAATTAGGCCCGTGTGTTTTTAACTTTTTAAAAAAAAGTAATTCAGATTAGATGTAGACATGTATATGGCTTTTACAAGAAAAAGTCCAAATTTAAACACTAACTTCCGAAAAAAAATATATTTATAACATTTTGAATGAAAAGTGACAAATGGCGCGCTAACTGGAGGTGTTAACCAGGGCTTTAGTGACACGCTGCTTTGATGACACCCAGCTCTGGTATTTAACAAATTTAAAAAAAACAGGACATTTACAATGGTGTTGAGTCATGCATGTCTAAAAATAAACATTTGTCAGTGAGACGTTGTTTGCCACACAAAAACTCGCTGTGATGTCAATTTGGAATAATTATATTTCTTTTAGTTGTGTCATTTATTTATGCATAGATCTTATTATACATTTCAAAAAATAATAATACAGTTTCAATTCTAAATATCCCTATAAGACAAAACAGTACCAAAAGTAACAGTGATGGGTCAGTAGCAATGATGGGTCAGTAACATTAATGAGCCATTGAACAATTCCCTTTCAAATCGAGCTGAAACTTGACACATGGACTCGTTGACGATGACAACACACATTCTTTCAAATTTTCAACCCGAGCCCCCCCCCCCCACCCGCGAACACCCACTTTTAGCGCTACCAGATTCCATTGTTTTCACAAAAAAAAATGTCTAATCTCAGCGCTAAATGAGATTCTTAAAACATATCGCGAATGCACTTGGTGTGTAATATTTTCTTTTGTTCTACAGAAATAGTTGGGAAAATAAATCTGCGGTGTAAGACGTGTGTGGGCATTAGATCATTATTATAGTTCAGGGGCGTGAACAAAATATGCGATTGCGTGTCTTGTGTGTGTGTGGGGGGGGGGGGGAGGGCACTAATTGGGATTCTTTTAAAATGCGTTGTTCAAATGCATGGTCTGTCAAATTTTTAGCCTCACCCCCATTGTTTGATATTTCACTGTATAAAGGATTTGTACGAAAAAAATATGGGGGGGGGGGGGAGAGCACTAATTGGGATTCTTTTAAAATGCGTTGTTCAAATGCATGGTCTGTCAAATTTTTAGCCTCACCCCCATTGTTTGATATTTCACTGTATAAAGGATTTGTACGAAAAAAATATGTAATTTTTCTAAGAAGTGTTTTGGTGAACCTGACAGAAGAGAGTATGAATAGTGAAGACGAGAGAGAACAAGAGCATAGACTAGGGTTTTTGTTGGACTACTGAGGTAGTGGCGGATGGAGCTGATGTGACGAATAGCGGTGTATGCAGAACGACACATATGAGAGCTATGTTTATCAAGAGACATGTTGTTAGAAAGAATATAACCAAGATTCCTAGCAGAGGGTGTAAACTGTATGTCGGAGTGACCTACTTGAAATGAGGTGGGAAGAGTTGAGGTAGAGGATGATTTGTTATCGTGAATAAGGAGTACTTCCGTTTTGTCATCGTTAAGCTTCAATTTGCTAAGTGCAATCCATTTCTTGACATCACCAATGCTCTCCCTCAAAGTCCGGACAAGAGAATCGACGAGAGAGGGATTGGTATGCTTGTATAGCTGCATGTCAATTGTGAATGACTGGCTCTCCACAGCAGTCCTCCCGAGCAAGAGGAGCAGTGCCCTGGTATATATCGTGAACAGAACAGGGCCGAAAACGGACCCCTGTGGCGATCCGTACACTATGTCAGCACTGCCTGAGAGACAGCCATTGACAGCGACCACTTGCGTCCTATCCAAAAGGTAGCATCTAAACCAAGCCCAAACTGAAGCAGAAATTCCAAAGTAATTTTCAAGGGTTTTGTAAAGGGTTTCATGGTTAACAGTGTCAAAGGCTGCACTGAGGTCTAAGAGGATCAGAATGGGGATATCACCGCTGTCCAATGTAAGCAAGAGTTCTCTCTCAAGAGAGCTGTCTTAATGCTATGCAAAGGTCTATAGGCCGAATGATTAGGACTAAGAAGAGGGTGGTCGTTTAAGTAGGCAAACAGTTGTTTTAGAACTAGTCTTTCAATGAATTTAGATGAAATTGATTAGTTAGATACTGGTTTATAGTTAAAAAAATATATATTTTTACTCAAACCAGGCTTCTTAAGCAATTGTTTGATGACAGGCGACTTGAAAATAGAGGGAACAGTGCCAGAAGACAAGCTTTCATTGACTATGTGGGTTATCGTTGCCAGCAAATTATCTAAGGACTAAACTAACAGGGGGTAGGGATGGGGTCCAAAGAACATGACGTAGGTTGAAACTTCAGAATGCACGGTCTAGTGTTTCCAAAGTAGGGCAGAGGGCGGGAGACGCTTCTAAACTCAGCCCGGCTTAAAGGCATCCCTGTTTATAGCATGCACACTGCGGACCTCCCTGAACTGATGGAGAGGAGAGGGGGCACTAACGCTAAGCTCACAAACAACACAGAAGTGGCATGAGGACAGCTCCTGGGAAATGGTGGCAGAGGTAACTACACCATCCTGAGGCCATATGTAGCATCCAATCAATAACATGTCCACGTTATGAGTCGGCTGGTCGACTAATAGCTTAAGACTAAATAAGTCCAAGAGATCCAATATCTTAGCAATGGGGGGGGGGGGGTTCGGTGGCTGGCGGAAGTTAGCGGGTTTGCCCTGGCGTCCTAGTCATTAGAGTTAAGTCCACTGTTGTAACTAGTGTGCGGTAGAAAATGTGAGGATGGGAGTGTGTCGCAACATTGTCGAGCCGGACACGGAATGTTTATACATTTTAAAATCCCCATTTGTGTGTTTCTTGTAAGGTAGCACATGTAGCGTACACTAGTGTGACCAAACATCCCGTAAAAACTGGATTGTCCCGTTGTTTGACGATCGTACACGGTGTCCCGAAAAAGTCTCTCGGGACGCCTAAATGTCCCGTTTCTAAAACCAAACACATTTTCACATATTAGAAAAGAGAGAGGTTTTAAAAATGACTGGGAAAACAGCCAAATATCCTTAATTTAAATCCTAGACTAGAGAAATTTAATTTGTTGTGTCCAATTATGTTGTAAAATATAAGTATTCACTGAAAAATTGTATTCGTTTATGATATGCCTCAGAGTTTAAATTAAATTACAAAAGTGAAGGAAACTTTAAAAAGATTTCTAGGTCATTAAATAGTTAAAATGAGCACATTTCGATAAACAGTTACCAGCCCCCAACCGGACGTCTCTTTAGCTGGAGGATATCCCCCACCCCCGAAGGGTATCACCCGACCCATCACTCCCCCAAACTCCTTGGGTGTGTCCTGTTTTTTCCAGTTCATGATTTGATCACCTTAGCTTACACCTAACTATATCAAAGCAGTTTCTCAAGCTTCATTATACTTTGTCAACGTAAGTTCTCGCCATGGGCACCATTCGTTCTCAGTACGACTCTGATTACTGTATTATTATCAAGGTAATTTATTTCAGCGCAGTACACCCGCCTAGTAGGGCCAGGCTCACTGCAGTACACAAGCTAGTAGGGCTAGGCTCACTGCAGTACACAAGGCTAGTAGGGCTAGGCTCACTGCAGTACACAAGGCTAGTAGGGCTAGGCTCATTGCAGTACACAAGGCTAGTAGGGCTAGGCTCACTGCAGTACACAAGGCTAGTAGGTCTAGGCTCACTGCATTACACAAGGCTAGTAGGGCTAGGCTCATTGCAGTACACATGGCTAGTAGGGCTAGGATCACTGCAGTACACAAGTCTAGTAGGGCTTGGCTCACTGCAGTACACAAGGCTAGTAGAGCTAGGCTCACTGCAGTACCCCAGCCTAGTAGGGCTAGGCTCACTGCAGTACCCAACCCTAGTAGGTCTATGCTCACTGCAGTACCCCAGCCTAGTAGAGCTAGGCTCAGTGCAGTACCCCACCCTAGTAGGTCTAGGCTCACTGCAGTACCCCAGCGTAGTAGGGCTAGGCTCACTGCAGTACCGCAGCCTAGTAAAGCTAGGCTCAGTGCAGTGCCCCACCCTAGTAGGTCTAGGCTCACTGCAGTACCCCAGCCTAGTAGGGCTAGGCTCACTGCAGTACCCCAGTCTAGTAGGGCTAGGCTCACTGTAGTACCCAACCCTAGTAGGTCTAGGCTCACTGCAATTCACATATAAGTTAGCAATTACAGAAAATTGTACATTTAAAAACAATTGGTAAAAGCCTAAGCTCATCCACCCAAGTACTAGCTACCCTGGTCTAGCCATGGACACCATCCACCCAAGTACTAGTTACCCCGGTCTAGCCATGGACAGCATCAACCCAAGTACTAGCTACCCCGGTCTAGCCATGGACAGCACCCAGCAGAATCGAGCGTTGCTTATCAATTGGAGGGGGTGAGAATGTGTCGGTATAGTAGAGTTTGAATAGTGCAGTAATAATTAGTCTTGTCTATGTTATATAGTTTTATAGGGATTGCTAAAATAAGAATTTGAGGAAAAAAACATGCCATTTAACAGAAACTAGAGGAAAACTGCGATGTTCTCTCACAAAAGTTTTGAGACTTCTAAAATATAACTGGCACTTCAAATATGATGGTTACAAAGTCTAGACCCCTTGAGGCTTAAAAAAAGACTGCTTTAAAATCGATTGAGTTCTCTAAGGACGCTGTGTTCAAAGTGTTTAGAAACGAGTGAGTTCTATAAGGACGCTGTGGTCAA